CTTGCGCGTGTGCACAATTCAGCAGTCATTTCTATAATAACAAATGGTTCCTGAAGATAACCTGAGATAGAAAAATTGTTAAAACCACAGTGTGCTTCAATTCTCAATAATTTCCTGCGCACATTCATCATTTTTTCGCAAGTCCTGGTTATTAATTATGATAATATTCATGACGAAACTATTTCCATGCATTTGCATGTTGCATGTCATTTGACTTGAAGATGAGAAATCAAGCGGAAGTCACTTCACGTTAAATAATTTAAATAGCCAATTTTACCTTTTCTATTTTGGCGCGGCGATTTTTGTGCTAATGTAACGAATCGTTTCTGCAAATCCGTTTTGTACAGACGTAAAAAGATCAGTTTTTCATACTAAATCTTCTTGATGCCTAGGTGTCAAAAGATCGCGAGTAGTTTTCTTTCGGTGGAAAAGTTAATTAAATAGAACACAGAATAAAACAATAATGCTCGAGATATTAGTCTATCAGAATCGTACTGAAGAATTAAATTGTATACTATTATCACGCAATGTATATTTTACTGATATACTAAACCTGTATCACCACTACTCGATCACAAATTCAGATTAACTTATTATAGTTTAATTAAAATTAATTATCTTTCCTTGGGAAAATTTACTTTAAATGAAATTAAAGTTTTTTTTTCTAAAGTAAACTTTTAAGATTTTCTAAGGTATATTTTTCCAAGGGTTTTACATAAAAATATGCTACTAATTACTGTATTAAAGAAACATACCATACTGAAGCAAACAGCGCGGTGAAAATGAACGATCGCGCATCGAAGGAAATAGATTTATCTTTTGATGAAATTCATTCATCAAATTGAACTAATGTATCCATTGATAAAATTTAGAATAGATTTTGCGCGATTGAAGTCGTTGCGCATTTAGTGGAAGTTGCTCTGAATTTTGTATAAGACACGAGAGGAAGTGGATACACGCAATTTCCAAGAATCATTAAAAACATTAATGCAAAGGCAGAGGCATAATGCAGAATGCATTATACGCAATATGCGATTCCTCTTTGGGTACATTCTTGATATTAACGCGCAAAAATGATCAAACAGGCGAGTGAACGACGCACATATTTCGCGGTGCCCACGCTTGGCCTTCCTGCGTCAAAGGAAGGTGTGAGTCGAAAAAAAAAATATCTCGAGCGGACATGAATGCATTACGTCATTATCGCCTGGAGTATCCAACTCGGCCGTGATTATATACACGATTATATTATATCCGCTCGCTAATACATATTTCCTAAATACTTTTTATAGTTGCTATTATTATTTTCTATCATCTGGTGTCGTCACTACTAAACTGAGGAGAGAGTCGGAATGCATTAGAATTTTATTATTAAATTGCAAACGAGTCCTGAGAACTTCTAAGGCTGAAATGATTGAGAGCAACCATCATTGAAAATGATTTCTAGAATACTATTTCATTCTTCGGGCTAATTAGACCGCGAAGTAATTGATGTGCCGGCCCATTTTTAGACACCGTCGGAAGGCGAAGTACACGATGTCTGTAGTGTGTTCCAGAATTTTACCGGACCGTAATCTTTTACGTTACAAATTTCTCCTTGTTAAAAAAAATAACGAAAGAAAAATGTACATTTGTTGCAGCTAGCGTAAGAGAGTTAAACGCGGGGAAAAAACTTTGTCGGAGTCTCCAAACGCGTAATTCTAATATCGCATGTGACAGACACGCATTTCATGCGTGCAAGCGTGCACGCAGCCCGGGCACGCACCGACACGCGAGGTAGAGGTGCGTGTCGCACGGAAAGCGAAGCTCGCTCGGATAAATCTGAAATGTGGATTCGGAGCAAGGAGGACCGCCGAGAACGGCAACGGGTTAGCTCATAAATAATTGATGAGGAGGTGCGATGCAGCTTCGCTTGCCACCGATTTGTAATTGTAATTTCGCGAGGTGCATGCCCAGTTAAGCAAAGTAATTATGGGCAGGTTTCGTTATCGGGACACGTGCACGATCTATGGAAGACAACGAGATGCGCCGCGATCTCCAACTTGCCTGCCTCTCGTATTTCTTTTCTCGGTGTTCCATCTCGATTAACGTTTAACTTTCGTTGCCGCGGATTTCAGTGCATTTCTAAAGCAGAGATCGGGAACGACGCAACGCCTACTAGTTAGACATAGGAGCCCGATTCGTGTTTTGCTACTGCACACCCGCAAAAATACCGTTCGACGAAATCACGACGATTGGGATCAATTTTTCGCGTTTATAGCGGCAAGTTAATCCCAAACTTACACCAGTATCGAATACCCTTTCGAGGAAGTGCCTCGCTAATACACTATGAGGGCGTATAAAAAGTTCGCATGGTCGCACGCGAAAATTCGATTCGTCTTCGACGAAATGCAAAGTTCAAGGTTCCCCGAGAGCATCGTCGGTCGTGCGAAATGATTGGTTCTCGGTCTGCCGAGCGCCGTAATCGCGAGTATAGTACCTGCGTTTAGTATTTCCACGGTCCTCTCCTTGCCCCCCCCCCCTCCGGCAAACAATAAATCTTGTATTTTTCGTAACCTCGTTTCCAAACCGCCGACGTTCGGCAGCGGGCGACTCGTGGAATCGATATTTCGAGAATGGGAAGAGGTACAAACGTATAAATAGATAATTCCCAAATGACAACTGTGCAGTCGTCTCGTACGTCAAACGGCAATCGGATATATGGAAATGACTCGGTCGTACTTCTGTCGTGCGTCGACATTACATTTATCAAGTAACGACAAAGAGGGGCTTGGAAGCGAAACTCATTTATTGAGCTTTAATTGAAGTCCTGCAATCTGCAGAGATTGCATCCGCTTTTACAGCCGTTTGAATTAAAATTAACCGTAAAAAAAGTTGTACTTTGACTCTCGGCAATTTTCTTTAATCAATAAATTACAATAAACGCAATATGTTACTAAATGCGGCGAGCACTTGAAAAAATGGTATCGAATATATCGCACGAAGATTGAAAATAATATTACGAAGATATGATAAGGGTTTCTTTCGTTCGCAATAAAATAGTTATCTCGATCTAAATTCGTTCGCGGCCGACATTGTTGAGAAATGGCTCACCATTTATCTCCCCTCAAAGGAATTGCGTTTTCATTGTATATTCCCTCGCGAGCTACGCGTATTGATACTTTTTGAGAGGAAAGCGTGTTTTCCTCCCGCGAAGGCAACTAATTTTCGCGGCAGCTTGCAGCAGCTTGCGGCATTTTCCAGGGAAAACGTAATTTTACGAAAAGCAGAGCTCAGCGGAGAAATCAGAGTGACGCGAACGGGGCGATTCTTTTTTCTGCCCTTTTTTTATTTGCAGTAATATGACGCAGCGATACGTTGCGAACTTGATAAGTGGCACGCGAACGGGGTGCTTCCCGGGAAGCATTACAACGATTTTTCCTAGAAATCTATTACCGGCGAAGCACACAGGGCACGGCTATTAAAATCGAAATAGGACACGATTTACAAAAATATTGGACAGCTCCGGACCACACTTTCCACATAAATGTGACAAGAATCCCTATTACCGTACCGCGCGAAGGTAAAATGCCGACGATATGGAGATCCGAAAACGTCGAACACGACTGAAATTTTTAGTAAATTAGACTTTTATTCGACAAATAGCTTCGTCGCTCAGACGCGAGACGCAGCTGCGATAACGTTCACCTTATTGACGCAAATTGACATTAACTCGTCCAAACGACCAATTTTTCGCGCCGGCAAGCCGGGTCTATGAAAGCGACAAGGAAGTAATAAATCTTGATAAACTAACTGCCAAACATACGACTCGTTTATATCAATTCCTAAGATCACTTCCATTACTCTTTCCAACCTTGAACTTTGTACTTCGGCGAAATTTCCAAGTAGCCCCGATAGATTGTCCCGAGTCCTTTGCGAGCGCGATTTACACCTCGCGAATAAACTTACGTCGACGGTAAAGACTGTAATATGCCGTGACAAATTTACTTTATTACTGCTGCACTTAATTTAAAGAAGTAAAATTGCTTTCATTCACGATACATGAGATACGTTTCAATGATGGGGAGAGAAGAATATCTTTAATGTAATTATTTTCTTACAAAATTAAGACGAGGAAGTGAAAGAGAGAATTGTTTCAGTTCAGTACTTTATATAAGATTTAGAGACATTGCACATTGATATAAAAATTTGTAAAAGTGCAAATACAATGACTGCATCTAATTTAAAAAGTCGCAGTCGCAGAATCACACGTGTCGCAACTGGCCGCAACGAGAGATTCAGTCGATGCAATGTGCGACACTTGCGACTCTGCGACTGCGACTACTGTAGTTAAAGGCTTTATTTGGAGAACATCCAAACTGAGAAAAAAAGTGTTAAACCAAGAAAATATTTCTGCGGTCACGGGCTGTCAAATAAGTATTTGTTAATTAAAAAGATATACAATGAAATCTCTTTAGGTTGCCAGTAATAAATAACAATAAATAAGGTTTAGTAAACCTTATTTAAGGTCGACTAAAACTTATTTATTAAAAAAATATATATTTGAATTAAAGAAACACTGTCAACGAAATATACTTAGTAATATCGATAACTTCTTTTTCCTCAGCGCACCGCTCTCGTAAATGGATTACGAAAATATTATCCCTCCTTATTTAAAATTGTCCCGATATCGCATTATAGAGTAAGGAGCACGCTCTACGTGCCTTATACCCTGCATACACACAAATCCGCTTATATGCCGGTGATTCGATTCGTCTATATAGTCGCTTTGCTCGATTACGCCACTGGCCGCGAAGGTAGGAGCGGAAAGAACGTTAAACTATTGAAGCGAATCGATGTAAATCGACACTTGGGGACTCGGTCACGTGTACGTGCTTTTCGATCGTCCGCCCAACGGTAGCGGTGGCTATCATCCACGCTGGTAAGGGTGGACAGCTTAGACGGACATGCGCGCTGCCTCGCGATGTCAGCACGCTGTAGCTTGCAACAACACTGTTGTGATGGTAACACTCACAGTGCCGCAGTCCTATCGGCGTTACAATGCGCGCGTTGGCCGATTATTAAATCGCCCGTCCCCGGCTAATCGTATTCCGTAACTTTCGCGAAATTAGTCGTTTCGCGATTAACCGCGCGATCGTCTGTGAAAACGTTCGACTGCACTCGCGCGAACGTTTTCGATGTGAGTGCGTTTCATTGGTTGGCGTTGACATTGAACGCGTACGCTGTCGTGTTTTGTGCGCGTGCGAATTTGCATAAACGTCGGATCGCGACTTTACGCGGAGAACGGTCTCGCTGCGATGTTTCACCGCGCGAGCGCCATTATCTTTCGCAAAAAAAAAAAGTATCGCTTACGGTAAAACATGAAATCGAATTATTTTTTTCTTTTTGAAGAAACGGTCGTCTTTGCTTGCGTCCACTCGTTACCGCAACCCCGTATCGATTTAATGAAAATTGCCCTCTACAGATTTGCTAACAAAATTGCGGACAAATTTTACGAAATCTCAAAAATTATAGACTATCGCAGAGGGTGCGTGAACAAACGTGGTCGCGAAAAATATTTTAATAAGTGGATAATGTTCAACTCTGAAATTGTTATTTATTCTTTAACATTGTTTTTATGCTCGTTGTTTGCAACATTTTATCGTTTCAACAAAGATTGCTCTCGAGATATTTCATAGTGAAACTACGAGCAAAAATTAACTCGGAGAGATTACTAAATTTCTGTGATAATAAATCACAGATTGTCGTTACGTGTAAAGAGTTAAATTTAGACGAAACACGCGGAGTAGATAAATTGCCTGACGGCGCATCTGCTGTGCATAGCATTTATAAAATAATTTAAAAAATATTCATCAAGCGCGGGAGGTGTTAATGATACGATAAGAGAAAATTATTTATAAAGACGTTTCGAAGATAGCATCGGGAAGGTATTTTCATTTCACACGCAAATTTGTTAAATATCGATAAGCAAACTTAATATGGCACCCCTTAATAATGTTTAAACTCGCCTCGAGCACGTAAGTTCTCTCCTTCGCGAAGTTGTAGGAGAAAAGATCGTGAACTTGACATATCGCAACCTCATATTGCAGCCTCTACTTATCGTTAGTGCAAGGCTCGTGTGACTACTAACTCTTTAGCAAACTTCTTCATACGTCTTTTTTTAGAGATTCCATATTAGATTTAAAAAGCAGGACATCATGTATGCGCGAAACAGTTGTACTTTCTACATTTTTCAATCTTCTTTCGAAAATATTTAGAAAACGTGCTTAATCGATAACTAACGAGAAGGAGTATGAATTTAAACATATAAATTGGAAATGTGAATTGCGAGTCAATAAACTCTACAAACCTGTGAATCTGTGAACTCGAACAAAAAATGGAGATGGCTACCTTTGCGTGCTAAAAAGAAAAATCGGCAGTGCCGATGATTCGTGTTTGGAGAATAAACGTGTGCCTGAATTTTCAATGTGAAAGAATTTGTGTGAGGATCTCGCGGGACAAACACCAGGTCGACAAACAGTAGGTCCAGAAGAATTGAGAAATCGAAAAAGAAATGCATATCCGGTCGCAACAACAACTGGGCGCTCGCGGGGTCTCCATGGACATGAAAACATCATGGGCGGCTCAGGAATACGACTCCACGTTTCCCAATTTGGAAACTATGGTACCACTTTCAACAATTAAGTAAACGCACGATATACCAAGATTCGAGAACATAAAAATTATGGCGGTGTAAAAATCGAACCTCTTATATTTTAATCGCCAGCTTTAGTCGACGTGCGAACGAAGATATCGTTTTAACAAAGACGGAGAGATAACGCAAGTAGGCGATCGTATCGTCAAAGGGGGTCAACGTCAAGCCTTTCGTAAGACGGTATCCCGAAGTTGAAAAAGGAGAAACGGCGAAGCGAGGCACGCGAGAGAAACGGGAACGTCGCTTATTCTATATACGGTCATGTACGGCTGAGTGGTCGACCTCTCGAATCTCGAGTAATCCACGCGGTGCCCACGCGATTTAAATCGACACCCAATCCACGGCCCTTCATTTAAAAACCTCTCGCGCGCCTCTACGTACGAAACGGACGCCTAATGCGCTACTTCGCGTATCGTTTTATTGATCCATTTTCAACCAGCACTGTGTAATACCCGCCATTTCATCTTTTCGTTAATCTTTCATCTAGTTTTCGTTTCTCCGCGCCCAATTGGCAGTCAGCTATTAACGGATGAAACATTATCCAGTAGCGTTATGTATATTTAATTAGAACGCGATGGAAATATAGCTATATCATGTTTACTATGCGCGTCGACCGCTGAAATCTCGCGGACGTATATTACCGTTTATACCAATGTAATGGCAATGCATTATAGGTATTTACTCATTGGAAGACGTAATGATAATTCTATACAGTCAATAACCGTGATTTAACTCCGTGGCTGATACATTTATTACTTACATCTGAAAGATACTTTCGCCTTGTATCGTATTGTAATACTGGACTAATATCTAACATCTAAATATGCGTATTTCCATAAAATTTAACCAAGAACTCAAGGCTGCGCCTTAATTAAAAAATTTTCTAGCGTCTCTATTAATTGATGAATGTAAACCAATTAACGCTGCATTATCAATAATCTTCTATCTGAATCTCGAGTTTACGCTCGTAACTGCGCGGTATACGGACGGTACACAGAGGCAAAGTGTCCAATATGGCGGGTTCATTAGGAATGAATCAATTAGTGGCGCGGATGATTGCCGATGCAATCATCGAAGGGATATGCAATTAGGAGCTGCTGCATGATTATTAAGCCGCAATTGATCTTTGCTCCGTCGTTCCCAAAACTGTTATATAAATTTTCAATTCTTGCGGAACGTACGTCGTAAAAAGTTAACAACGAGCTTACTTGCGAAAAGAGCAACGGAATTAAACAAGTATTGCTTTGTTTCAATTTCGTTATAATATTCCATGAAAGCCGATATCTCGGTTACTCAAATGTACTGAAATTTATTCTTTCTTACAATTGGTCAACAATATCGAGAAAAAAATTTTTTTCTCCAACATACGATTACAATTGAATCAGTAGAATTAATTAAAAGAGGGAAAATTTTTTTATAAGTCGACCAGATTGGCAAAAAAATATCTTTATTTCTTATTAAATCGCAAGAGAAGTCGGCAAAGAGGTCAAAACGTTGTGACTTAAATAAAGATCACTTTGCCAGTCTGGTCAATTTAAAAAAAAAAGTTTCCCCTTGTTTATGTGCTAGACAATAAGCTTCACTCAATTTTGTTATAAAAACTCCAATCCATTTACAGAATAGCAACCTCTTTTCGTAATTGAGACCTTATTATCTTAATCGCGCGAGTTGACTTATAATTCCGCAATCGAGAGCAATACCTCTAATAACGCGCCTCGAGCGCGAAAAGGGCCGAGGCGCCGAGCGGCGCAGGGTTAAGAGACGAACGATCCCTGCTTTAGCATAATAACGAGTTTACTAACCCCCCTCGCATGTAGGTTAGAGGTGAATCGATGAGGCAGCGCCGGTGCCTGCATGTGCATCGCCGTTTCTATAGCCTGCAGTAGAGCCTGCCGCGATACCATGCACCTCTCGCATGCGAGCCGACGTTCCAATCGCGGGCAACGTCGGCCCGCATTTCCGCGCGGCGACACGCCGATACTCAAAGCGAATTATCCTGCGACGCAGGCCCGCTTCCAGCAGAAGCAGCTGCAGGAGAAGGAGCAGAAGCTGCTGCAGCTGTACGACCAGCAGCAGCAGAGGGCCTACCAGGTGGTGCAGCGGGGTAGCGCGGGTTCCAACAGCTCGCATCACGGTTCCACCGCGGCCAGAACCACGACAACGACGTGCACGTCGAGCCACTCGACCTCGACCTCGCAAGGCGGTAAGGTAAGTGAAAATCGGCTTGCCACCACCTCAGCCGTCTAGTTGCACGCTCGTTTATTTTCGGAAGCGAAAATGTTAAGGCCAGTCTCTTTTATTTCCCTCGCGCGGAGATGGGAATTTAGCAGGTTGCAAACTTAAGCCAGCGGCGCACGATACTATTTTGAATTCACGTAATAAGATTTGAATTATTGGGCCACCTACAGCCTGCTCGGGCCTACAAGGTGTTCTCGTTATTTGTTTGACAGAGTTTTAGATCAGTTGACTTAAGAAATTCTGATTGACCCTCGCTAGCAATCCAGTAGGCAAAATAGTATCGTGTGCCGCTGGCTTTAGACGATCCTGCGAACGTTCAGTTTCTCGTTTGTAAGATCTCGCACGAGGGTTAATTGTCGCACACAGGTGAGGCAAATGTTCGACGAGAGGCGGCAGACTACCGTGAAGGGAATCGACAGGAGCTACCCGCTGGAACCGCTCGAGAACAGGCTGCGTAAGCAAGCGAACGCGAACGGCGTGGCGACGCAGAGGAACGGTAATGTGACGGTGAATCGACAGTCCGTGAAACGCGTGACACGCGCGGACGTCAACAGCAACGTTAACGGCGGCAAACCCGTCGTTTCTTACCACGAAGAGATCATTCGCGACTCGTTCGGGCCGCCCGTACGTCGTCACGACGACGACGACGACTACGGCGTCGAGAGTCGCGTCGCCACGTTCGCCAATGGACATTATCGTCACGAAATTGACAACGAGGTTGGTTGCACGCAAAATGCTTAATTTTCAACTTGGCGTTATGTCTTGTAGGATACACACAATTTACTCCGGTTTTCACCAACGTCGTTTAACTTGGACCTTAGTCTAAATCATGTCTTTTGTCCAGGGTTGCGAAGTAACTCGTTACTTGTAACGAAGTTACAGTTACATTTTTGTGGTAACTAACTTAACTTCATAACTTTCTCTCCATCCGTAAAGGATCGTCTACAATAGATGAAGTAAGCCTGACGTAAAAAGTAAAAGTATTAGGAGTAAGAAATGAATCATTTCCATTTCTTATTCCTACTTCAGCTCCGACCTTACTCTCGGCGAACTAGAGCGCAGTTCGACCAGTGCTGTAAATATTTTAAAAAATTATGCCTGTACTTTAGCTGTTACACTGATAAGTAAAGGTTACGGTTTTCTTACTTCTTACTGCTTACTTCTAATGTAGGCGGGCCTTAACTGTAACTTAACTCAGTTACATTAATAGTTGAAACGACGTTGGTGAAAACAGGCATTAGTTCTATATCCTGAGCCGCCAAACCGAAATTAAACGATTTGGAGAAAGTATTCCTTTGAAATATGTAATTTCATTCAACGTAGACGTTACTTTGCAAAACATGTTTTACGAATATTGCTATTTTGTTTATCTTGATAATGTATATTAATATCTTGAGCGCAGCAAGAAGAATCGTTGGACCAGGACACGATAGAGAGAAATCGCATGATGGCAAAGATACATCTGATGGGGTTCGACGAGACTCTGAAGCATCGCGTGAGGAACGATTTGAACAGCGAGGAGTTTCCGGAATACCTCATGGCGGATGCGCCCGACAAGCTCTCGAAGAGGAATGTCACGAAGAAATTGTCTCAGGCGGAAGAGCGACTCGAACGATTTAAGAACGCGAACGCGAAAAGGAGTAACGCGCCGAAACAGTCGACTCCGACCAGCACGGTGATAAAAAAGCGGTCGGAACAAGCGACAAAATCGAATTCCAGGTAAGAACGTTTCTCACATTATTGAAATTGAAATTGCAAGTAAAGAAGACGGAGAGATTTTAAGAGTGATAACGTACGACGCGTTTTCTCGAGATTAGAGATTACTATTATTTAGCTGTGTAAATAATTACACTGAGAAAAATAATCGATTAGATATAATCCAATGAAGAAGATCGATTTTTCGATCAAATTTCATCGCTAACTGCACTTGATCAGGCCAATTTCATTGGATATATTTAAAATTTAATCGGAACAATTAACTATCGCAAATACTATTTAATTGACTTATTCAATGGAAATTTTTCTCAGTGTAGAAATTTCGACTATCGATAAATCGCTAACAATTCGCCGCTGCTTGCCAGAATTAATTTACATGTCACGTAGTTGCAATCGCTACCCTCGACTATTACAAATATACACGTTAACAAAGTCCATTGTAAAAAGTTCGAGGGGAAAAAGAGAGAATATAATATCATTTGTATGACCGTTTTTGTTCTAATATAATGTGTTTATCTAACCCCGCCTCATGGCCGTAAACTAGAGCGAATATTAAAAAAAGGACAGACGGTGGATAACTAATTTGGCAGAATCGTAAATATTGGTGAATAAATGAGCATTCGAAAAAGAGTAATTAATTTGATTAATCTAAGTATGTGCAAACGGACAAACGAGTGCCTCTGCTCCGATTCGAAGAAACGTGCAAAACCATTCAAAGCTTAATTGTCATCGTACGCGCCGCAATTTAACCGCAATTCACGCGAGGCAGATTTAACACCGGGCTACGAGAGAGCTATAACTAGCGCAACGTCCACTACAAAAAAAAACTAGCGCTAATTAGCTTGGGCGCTGGGCCGAAAATAAGGACGACTGCCGTAAGAAAAAGCACGCCTCTTTTAGCGATCCCGTTTCAAAGACGTTCTACATTTGCTTTCTCTCGACTGTGCGTTCTCAGAGCAAGGAGCGAGATCGCCGGAACTTCCCCGATCAGCGCGAGAAGCGGAAGTAGCTGGACCTCAGAGCTCAGTCAAAGGATTTTCGAAAACGCAAAAAGTCCGCTGCCGGTTAGATTTCGCGTAGCTGACGAAATGAGCGCGAGACGAAGTTCGGATACCGAGATATTCAGCCAACGCAGAAGTCCGCGAAGCTTCTCGGCGAGAGGAACTACAAAGGCGGAGACCACTTCAAGATTTTATCCTCGGAGTAATGAGTTCAAGTCATTGACGTCCGATGGGAAAATAATCGTTAGACGTAGCGCGAGTCCGCAGTTCTTTTGTAGAGAATCCGAAAGATCTGCCACGACTATGAGCATCGATCGAAAATCCGATTCGTCCGGATCGCCGTTATTTCACCAGGAAACGTTCACGAAACGAAACAAAAGCCCGCGATTCTTTCTTCATAAATCCGGACACTCCCGCAGAATGAGTGAGTCTAAGTCACCAGTATGGAGTATCAGAATTTCGTCAAGCCAAAGCACGAGTCCGCAATATTTTCGTTATGAACCCAAACGAACCGAAACACCCATGAGTACCGATCGAGAAACTATTCGGTCCAAATCCCCCGAGTGGAGCAAGGGAATATTAACAAAGCGCGATATGACCGATTTCGAACGGAAAAAAATTCAAACAAGTACGACTCTTGGTCGACAGTCTTCTCAATTTAAATCGCCACTGTATGAAGAGAAAATATTAAAAAGGCGAAGCACCAGTCCACAATTCTTCTGCAAAGAATCCGAACGCTCTGCCACGACTATGAGCATCGATCGTGCAACTAGCGGCTCTAGATCGCCGTCACACGATCGAGAAATAGTAACGAAACGAAGAGCAAGTCCGCAATTCTTCCTCAGCGAGTCCAAACAATCTCGCAAAACGAGTGAGTCTAAATCACCGATATGGAGTGACAGAGGAATTTCATCGAGACAAAGCACGAGTCCGCAATATCTTCGTTATGAACCCAAACGAACCGAAACACCCATGAGTACTGATCGAGAAACTATTGGGTCCAAATCCCCCGAGTGGAGCAAGGGAATATTAACAAAGCGCGATGTGACCGATTTCGAGCGGAAAAAAGTTCAAACAAGTACTCTTGGTCGACAATCTTCTCGATTTAAATCGCCACTGTATGAAGAGAAAATATTAAAAAGGCGAAGCACCAGTCCACAATTCTTCTGCAAAGAATCCGAACGCTCTGCCACGACTATGAGCATCGATCGTGCAACTAGCGGCTCTAGATCGCCGTCACACGATCGAGAAATAGTAACGAAGCGAAGAACAAGTCCGCGATTCTTCCTCAGTGAGTCTACGCAATCTCGAAAAACGAGTGAGTCTAAATCACCGATATGGAGTGATAGAGAAATTTCGTCGAGACAAAGCACGAGTCCGCAATATCGTGAATCCAAACGGTCCGAAACGGCTATGAGTACCGATCGAGAGACTATTGAATCCAAGTCGTCCGAATGGAACAAACGAAGCTCAAGACCGCAATTTTTTTGCAGAGAATCCGAACGATCTGGCACAACTATGAGCATTGATCGCAAAGTTAGTGGACCTAGATCGTCGTCGTATGATCGAAAACTATTCACGAAGCGAGGCGCAACTCCACGACTATCAAACGGAAAGACCGAACAGCGATCTGCAACAAACATCAATTGGAAGTACAGCGGGTTGAAATCGCCTGAAATCATGCGCGACAAGCGCTCCACAACGAGTCCGCAATTCTTCTGCAAAGAATCCGAAAAATCTGCCACAACGATGTTGATCGAACCAAGACCGAGGTCGGTGGATTCCACCAAAACTGTATTAAAACATGTCCCAGATTCTTTCTACGGGCGATCTGTAAAATCTCCGTTTGATAAAAAAATCAGTTCTACGAAATATAGACACACTCCAAGTCCTTCGGTTACTGGCCACAGAGTGAAAAGACCTACGAGTAAAAACGAAGTCTCCAACAGTATTACAGCTCGCAGATCATCGAGAATCTCGGAGACCTCCGCGACATCGGCCAGCTCGATCGTAGACCTCAGATACGGTTTAGAATTCGATAATATTTTACAATCAGCAGGACTCGTCCGTAAATTTATGAAGTCCCAAAACGGAAAGCAGCGCACGATTCGTCAATCGCCTTCGAAACGCAACATTACGGACGTAAATGCACGAATCTCCGCGAGAGGCGATCAATCGAAAAATCGGCGTAAAACATCGCCGCTTCTCCAAACAACGAGTTCGCCATCTATCGAAGGCAGGAAGAGAGCTACGCCGGAATTCTCGCGCAAAACTATTACTCCGACAGAAGTTGACATGGACATTCAAGAGATTACTATGACGGATCATCGTATTGAATACGACAAACGGCAAAAAGCGTCGAGCCCAATATCGGAGCGACAATTTGATGGAACGTGCACGAAATCGCCTGGCAGTGGAGCGAAATTCCAAGCCTCGATCACCTATCCCGTTCGTAAAACGCACAGACAGAGAGAATCCATTTTGAAATGGAGCGCTTTCAAGGGAGATCTCTCCGAAAGAGGATCCATGGGTCGTCGAAGCGATCGAGAGAGCGGGAAAAGTGTCATCAGCCTGAGTAAATTCGGTCCTGTAAGCGAAAGTTCTCGTATCATAACTCGAGACAGGGAAGACGAAAGTAGCACGTCTTTCCGAACGCGGGACCAATCCGCAGGAAATCAAGCTAAATACATCGCGACTCGATCCACGAGACGCGAAGACCGACAGCGCGCGAGTTCTCGATCTCCAAATCAAATGCGGAGTCGTTTCACAGAAAACAGGGCTGACAGTCCGAAAGCAAAGTCTCCCGATTTTTCTAGGGGAACAAAATATGCCGATACAGTTTCGCCGATTTTATACGACTTCGCGAAGAGGACCAAAGGGGCACGCACAAAATTCGATCAACCGCAAAGCTTGCGGTCCGCGCGACTGGTGCAGGGCGCTGCAAACTCGTCTACAGACGACAAGTATAATCGAGGAAGAGAAGGAGAGAAGACGAAAGACATAGCGGATGTAGATGAGGTTGACGCTAGGATCGATACGAAGCACCAAACGGTAGTTGGAACCGCTTTGACTGAAAAGATCAAGGATTATCGCGCAATCACTCGCCCAAACTCCGCTGATCCGATCACAAACAAAAAGGTCTTCCTTCGCGAAACGACGCAGAAGCCGATGAAGTCGAGCACTTCAAAGAAAACAATTTCTCCGACGAGAGAGTGTGGCAGGCGGTACGACGTAAGGTCTAGGGTTTCACCACGCATTTCACCTTTACGGAAAACAGCAGAAATTTCTCGTGACGCCTATACCTCGAAAATACTCTCGTCCCGGAGTATCGTATCGAAAACGGATCAAAGCCCCACGTCCAAACTTTCGACGTCCACCATCAAAGATCGCAAACACGAGAGTGTACTAGTCGCGAAGAAATTGGCGGACTCGTTCAATAAAATGAGCGTGAAGCGTAAGATCGAAGAGCCGAAAGATAGCGCGAAAGAACTTTCGAAAGTGTTACGCGAGAACAAATGTGGAAAAGATTTCGAAAGATTGGACTCCGTGGAGTCGGCGTTGAGACGATTCGATTCCGTAGGCGCGGAATCTGAACGTACGAGTCCGACGAACTTCCGGGCGTTTTCAGAGATTTCCTTACAAACGATAGACGTCCCAACAAAGGCCTCTATTAAAGACTCGACCGCGTCGGAAGGAACAACGGTTCCTTGTCGCGAGATAACGAATCACACGATTTTGAGATCGGTGCTAAAATCTCCAGTCGGCAAAGATCTGAGAGCTAAAAACGCCGCGCATAAAAGTGATTTGAGGATTCTCCAAAAGCAGACTCGTCCCTCTAAGAGGCCAACGAGAGCCGAAAGCAAGCAAAGCTCAACGAAAATTCGATCACCGACGTGCAAGCGGCGATTGTTTGAATCCGATTCGGAGAGAGAGATTCGAGGGTCAAAATCGAGTTGCGTAAAAGCGCGAAAGGATGAGAACAGTCCCTTTGTAAATTTCAGCTTTCGTAAAGACAAAGCAGTCTCAGACGTAAGGTCTGCCAACGATTTCGGTCGCGACGTTACGAGAGAATCGATGAGACCGCAAGAGACGGTCTCCGTGAAATCGCTGCGGTCCATCGACGATATCCGAAAGTCGATCGATAACGAACGAAATAAATTAGTCGCTACGAAAGGGTCGAGGTCAGCGATTGCAAATCGGCGTGCGACCTCGCGAGAGGGTGTCGACGCGAGGAGATCAAGTCCCGCGACCAATGCAGCGGAAAACGTATTTCTCGGCGCCGATCCCGCGAGGCTGATTAAAATTAAATCCTGTGTATCCAGGATCACGAAGAGCCCGAGCCCCGATTCGGCAGCGACAAAGCAGCGCGAGATGAACGCGCGAATGACAAGAGGAAGCGCTCCTTCGTCCCCCTCGAAGAGTCCTGAGGTTGCACCTAGGGTAAGTACAATTGAAACTCACAATTGAATCACCGCCTGTGATAACGAGGATAGCTTTACAACGCCCCATACTCCTTTCCTTTCGTTCATCTCTTTTGTCTTGTACCTGTTGCAGTAAAACAAACCGTTTCACATGTTATAAACGCCACGTTAAACTTTTCTACAGATTAGCTATCATTAAGAAACATATTAGACATATTACTGAAACCTTGTGTGATATTACAAATATTTCGTGGTCCATCACGATTCCATCTTCTTCCCTGTCCGAGATGTTCAATTTAAATCGTGTAAGTGTTCGTATTATAATTGATCCTAAAGTTAATATTGGATTTATCAGCGCACAGCTACAGAATCGAGGAATCAAGAAGCGAAGAGAAGATCAATGGTCGCGAAAGGCGCGGACTCGACCGGAAGTAAAATGACCGGGGCAGTCAATACAACCGACGGCGTCGTTTTCCGAAACGGTTCGCCGAACGAATCTACAAGCAAATCCGACGCCATTGTGATCGACTTCGACGATCGACCATCGAGTCAGGACGACGCAATGCCATTGAAAAAATCCTCAATGAAGAAGTCTTTTAACGACGTAAGATTGACTATTTTCTTTTGCTAAAATTCGATACGCGAATTTTATTTTTGTATATTGTTCTCATCCAAGCAATGCTGTGCGAAATAATTTGTTTCTTAGCTTTATCGAAACTGATCGCTGCGAGTGTATGATAACGTGAAATACTTAGCTTACTTCGTGTTGCTCTCTTGTATAAATGAAGCTAAAATCCACGCAAGTCTAAAAATATACTCTGATATCTATACATTAATCTTAATTTTTATATTTCGAATGAGCTAGCAATGAGAACGCCAGCCAGGTATCTGGCGCAAAACTAATATTAATCGTACTGCTATAGTCTTCCCGCGATTGTGCAATTTATTTTCCAAACAATTGCAATCAAAGTCATTTGGCAAATTTAATCTGCCAAAAAGTCAGAAGAAAACTCGCACGTTAATTACAGCTTCCGGGAGACAGAGTCGATGAAGTAATAAATTGAAATTATATTACACAAGGTACAATTATGTTAACCTTACAATTAGTAACCTAAATGTTTACTTCGTCGTCGAAAAGCAAATTTTTCAAACAAATCACGAGCGTTTCAGTACATTCTATACAGAAAGATATTTTTACGCAATTTATATTAGCTTATACGCGCAATCTGCTTATTTGCAGAAGCAACAGACAACTTCCAGTGCATCGGGTCGGCCGACCTCGAATTCTAGTGTCAACTTAATTCAAGATTCCAGTGCGAAAGGTAGAATGGCGGAAAGCGAAAGAGGAAAAGGAGCAGGAAAAGGAGGAGGTAAAAGTAAAGTTAAAGGTACGGAAAAGTCTTCTTCCAGTAGTGGCAAGCTGGCAAACGAATCGAGTTTCAATGAAGATGCAACTGACACGTAAGTCTTTCGTGGTAATTCCACATTTGATTAGGAAACAATAGTTTACGTCAGATAAAAATCTATATAAATTATTATCAAAATTGTAACCTTTCAAAAATTTCTATCTGTCTTTCTAATAAGCCAGAGAAAAAAATTTACTTTGATAAGTAACAATCAGGGAACACGAATATGATGTTATTTTCATCGAATTTGGTATAAGATTTCTGTTATAACAATGTTGAAAAAATTAAAAACTTGGAAATTCTGCTATCACAAGAAGATTAATTAATACAGACGTAAAAATTAATTATGACATATGTATGGTACAATAATTAAAAATAATATTCGCGTTGCTAATTAATAATTAATGGCAGGAAGGGTTTGGTAAAGTGTAAAACGTGCGGACGTAGCTTCGCGCAGAATCGAATCGACCTCCACGAAGAGATCTGCATGAAAACTGCGATCAAGAAGAGGAAACAGTTTGACCCGGTGATGAGCCGAGTTAAAGGAACCGAACTCGAGCCTTTCGTCAAGAAAGGCCTCGGCAAACGAGAGGTTGGTATCGAGGGGTATCTTCAAAAAGAGTCAATCATTGAAACTGTATAAAATTGTCAATAATATCGTCAAGTTTCGATGCGTTAAGCGACGCTTGGCGGTGGATTGTCGCCGTTTACTTTGGTGTCTGGCTAGTTCGTTTCCTCCCGAGGAAAGCGAAGACACTCATGCACTCGCAATATTTTCAGACGAAGACGAAGAAGGCGGATACGAAGCTGGACTGGCGGCGCAAGCACGAGGAATTCATCAGCGCGATCCGCTACGCAAGAGAGACGCAGGCACGATTGGCGGCGGGTGGGAATTTGAGCGATCTGCCGCCCCCGCCGCCTAGCGATACCAGCGATTACGTCCAGTGCGAGCACTGTGGACGGAAGTTCAATCGGTCCGCCGCGGAGCGGCACATTCCGATTTGCAAGCGTATGCACGACAAAAAGCAGACGCAAGCGCCGAAGGCCAGACGCTAGGGAGGAAATGGAAATGCCTAGGAGGCCAGGCTCCTCAGCAGCCTCTCCGCAAAGAAGAAAGATCGTACTCCCCGATAAATCAGCGTCTAATCTTTTTCAGCTCTCCCTATCCGATTCACAAGCGTAACACTCTCTTCTGTGTCGTACGCGAGACGCGACTCGCTACGTTGTGAAATTTTCGTCTGTTTCGTCCGCTTGTAAAAAGATTTTTGACAGGCTGATGTTGAAGAACTCGTTTCTAGACCGTCTTGAGTTTTATGAATTCACGACGGCGTGGGAATAGATTCTTTGACTGGTGAATTTGCTGTGCTATGACGCTATCGAGTTAAACTGAACGAGGCAGATGGAAATTAATCAATAACAAGAAAGATTATCTATGTGAACTAACGACAATGTTGTAATCAGCTGCAAAGCCGAGGTGATCGAATATTCACAGCAATAATCGTTGATGTTGAAAGGCAAACAGGTACGCCGCCGATGACTATCGCTTTTCATTCGTGAAGCTGCTATCGCCCAAGCGGGTGCTTTGAATAACTATCGATGAAATTTTTTATCAATTGAATTTTACACTCGTTTCGTAATTGAATGCATTTTTATAACAGCGCAGCGATTATATACACGCCAAGCAAAGATGTAAAAAGGAGATTATGTACATGAAAGAAATATATTATATATAGCACGAATGTGGGGGTGAGAAAAATCGTAATTCTTCTCGTGACACATGAGACGAATGTTTCACTTGACTCTTGCAAAAAGGAAAAATGTCGCTAATTATTTCGTTTGCACAACATTACGTTCTGTGGTATTGTAATTTGAGAAATCTCCCGATTGTTGTATTTTATTAATTCTTGATTTCTATGTATTATTTAACAGAACTGTATTATTATTTAGCAAAAATAATCTTCGGATTATTGTTTCTTCTTGCGACTCACGCTATATTTGTATATTACGTATATACTTCCGACTATCTAATGCTGTTTTTTCTTACCTATATATTTTCCGACTATTTAATGCTGTTTTTTTCTTTAATCAAGTGTAAATTAGATATTTTCTAATCTTTTATTCAGTTTGAAATGGCAGCACAGCTTGAATATGTTATATAACTTTCAAAACTTGTAACAAGTTTTTCAAATATACTTCTATCGGTTTCCTTAAGCGGCGTCTACAATGAGATCTTTAAGACGTAAGATTTAAGAAAGCGACCTATCGCAATCGAACGCGAGGAGAATAATTGACTGCGATTGGTCATTTTCTTAGATCTTAAGTCTTAAAGATCTCATTGTAGACGTCGCATTAGGCGGCAGACCTAGATGTATTATATTCTCTAATGCAACTTTAAAGAGACGTGACAATTTTTGGTAACCCTTTCACGATCACTGGGATGTATAAGACCCGGTTGCAGCAACGTCGCTTAGCTTATTTTACTTTTTGTCTCATTTTTTTTAATTAAGAAAGTTACGTGACGTTGGTGCAATCGGGCCCACTTGCAAAATTGAAAAAGACTCAATTGACGTGCATTCCGTTACTGCAGAAACATAATATCGACAAAAACGAAAAGTTAATTTGGCCACAAATGGAAGGGTTTTCTCAGGCACAAGTGGCTGGCATAATTTCATTTATTATTGAGACGTTACGAAACAATAAATAATTACAAACAGTGCAGAGACGAGGACGTACCTGCACGTTCGGCAACAGTATTGTATCCAGGGCTCCCCGATGCGCCTCGGAAGAAAGTAACGACGGACGAAGAGGAGGGAAGACGTAAGTGGTGAGCGCGTGGAAATGGCGTCGCGAACATTTTCGCACACGTAATGTTCGTATGGGCAGAATGGCTGTCTTGTACTTTTAAGACAATGTTTCATGTTTTAAATCTTTGTCTTAAAGTAACGCACAATAACTGTCTTGTGACTTAAGAATACAAAGTAGCCATTCTACTATCACGCGCGAGAGCTCAAAGAGACGCTTTCGCGCCCGGAATTCCGCACTTCGAACGTCGACAGTGGCGAGGAAGAGGGACAGAAAGGCTGATAGCAGAGAACGATGTGAAAGTCTCTTGTGTAAACTTAAGTTTTTCCTCTGCCTTGCCTTAAGGCCCGAACAAACGAAGAAACTTAAGCAGTAAAGCTTAAGACTTAAGAGAAATGACCAGTGGCTGCCGAGAACGCGAGCGGCCATTTTGAAACTGAAGTGAAATTTCGATGGTTGAAATTCTCAAGTTTCAAATCTCACTGCTTAAAGCACTGCTTAAGTTTCTTCGTGTATTTCCAGCTTTACGTCTACGACTCAAGACAGTCAAGCGCTTACGGATTGTTCTCTGCCATCAGCCAAACGCGAAGGGAGTTTCGCACGATCCGCCAGTTCCGCCACCGGCGATCGCTTCCCGTTCGGATCGGAGAGAGAAATACGCGTGGGGGGGAAGGCGATATAAGATCGCGACTTCTCGCCGCGCCGCTCTCGATAGTCGATGTATCGCGATACATCGAGCGCTCGCCGCGCGACGGCGGGCCAATCGGAACGGTCCACGATAAAGTCGCCCGTCGACGGCTGGGATGCCGCCAGCGCATCCGGGCGAACGTCAGAGCGGTCGGGGCTTTGTGCGGAGGCGGTGTTGGTGCGCTCGTTGGCGTGGCTGCGCATTCGGCGGATGTGAATGACTGCTGGTGATGTCGCGAGTCGCCCGTACGATCCACGGAAAGATGTCGGGGCTCCTGGGTAAGTCGCGTGCGCGCGTGCCGCCGAATCGCCGGGCGCCGACGCCGGTTATCGCCGATGTTCCGATGGCTACCGACGTCATCGCCGGATCTCCGTGTGGACGATACCGCAACAAGTGACCCCTCGGCTCGCGTTTAGTGAGAAAAAAGCATGACCGTTCTCTTCCGCTCCCTCGCAGCCCTCCGGGGAACGTTTAATCGCGTAAACGTAGACGCCCGCCGACCTACGTCTTTTCACTCACTCTCTCTTTCTCTCTCTGTTGCAGGTGTTCTGCTGCTGGTCGCTGGAGCGAACTCTATGTACGCGTCCAACTCAGCCGTCATTGATCTTAGGCCAAATAATTTTGATAACTTAGTGTTAAATAGCGATCACATCTGGGTGGTTGAGTTCTACGCGCCGTGGTGCGGACACTGTCAACAGTTGATGCCAGAATATGATAAAGCGGCCACTGCGCTAAAGGTGACTCATCATGTTTAATTTATCTGTTTTTCCATTTGTATACATGTATGCACACACACACAAGAATGTACATATGTATAATTGTTTAAATTGCTCCAATAGGGTGTTGTAAAAGTTGGTGCAGTAAATGCAGACGAGCACAAGTCCTTGGGAGGCAAATACGGCGTCCGTGGTTTCCCGACGATCAAGATATTCGGACTTGACAAGAAACCGGAGGAGTATAACGGCCCGAGAAGCGCAGCTGGCATCGTCGACGCTGCATTAAATGCCGCCAGCCAAAAAGTTCGAAAGTCATTAGGTGGTAAAACTTCGGGAGGTGAATCCAAAGTAAGTCGCAGCTCGAATAGCATTAGCTCTTATCTATGAGGAATATTTAAGTAGAGAGCATTGATATTTATACATAGGCAGAAAAGATAATGTCTAACTAATCAGAGCGCAAATCACTAAGTAGTATGTATTTGGCTTCCGGATGGATGCCATTTATTGATTTGACTATATCTGCGGTCAAGCTGCCGCTACAAATGGTTCGAAGCGTTTCTCTTCTCTTTTCTTTCAGAAAAGATAGAAGGAGAAGAGAAACATTTCAAGCATTTGTAGCAGCAGTTTGACCTATGGATCTGATCATTTACTTGCAGAGCAAAGATTCCAAAGATGTGATAGAATTGACGGACGAGAACTTCGACAAGACTGTTTTGAATTCCGAGGATATGTGGCTGGTCGAATTTTACGCTCCTTGGTGCGGCCACTGTAAGAATCTGGCGCCTGAGTGGGCGACAGCGGCCACCGAACTGAAGGGCAAAGTCAAACTGGGAGCTTTGGACGCCACTGTAAACACATTGAAAGTGAGACACACGTTTTACTAGTATTTCCTCGTGATACGCTGTACATGGCAAACTCGTTTTAACGCACGCGATGTTGCAGGCGAGCAAATACGAGATTAAAGGTTATCCTACCATCAAATTCTTCGCGCCGGGCAAGAAGGACGCCGACTCGCTACAAGACTACGACGGCGGTCGCACGAGCGGTGACATTGTTAACTGGGCGCTCGAGAAACTGGCCGAGAATATCCCGGCGCCGGAAGTGGTGCAAATCACGTCCGAGCAGGCGCTGAGAGCCACGTGCGAGGACAAGCCGATCTGCGTGGTTTCCGTTCTGCCACATATCCTGGACTGTCAGTCCGATTGTAGGAATGGATACTTGAAGACTCTAAGTAACCTCGGCGAAAAATATAAGAAGAAGATGTGGGGGTACGCGTCAAACTTTTATATGCAGGGTGTCAGTTAATGTTTGGGACTTATTTTTTGTGTAGATAGAGCGAACCAAACTTTGATTATGAAACTAATCAGTATTTTTTCATTTTTAATTCTTATTGCAAAATTTACTTCGTAAGAAGTCATAAAGACAGCAGAATAGATTTAAGTGACATAGGACATTGATATAAAAATTTAATAACATTAATACACGATTACTTTTATATAATTTTAGTAAAGTAGAAAAAAATTTTTCGTGTAATTTTTGTTTAAGAAGCTAGAAAATTTATTTCATATTGCGTGAACCACGTTCAATTATCGTTAATGATTTTCAAAAAAAAAATTCTATTTAGATGGGTTTGGACCGAAGCTGGTGCCCAACTGCACATCGAGGACGCGTTGGAAATCGGAGGTTTCGGCTATCCCGCGTTAGCGGCCGTTAACATCAAGAAAATGAAATACTCTTTGCTGAAAGGTAGTTTCTCGTACGATGGAATAAACGAGTTCCTACGAGATCTCAGCTACGGCAGAGGTGGCACCGCGCCCTTGAAGGGCGCTAAGTTGCCTGTCATCATCGAAACAACACCTTGGGACGGCAAGGACGCCGAACCTCCGCAGGAGGAGGAGATCGATCTTAGCGATGTTAATCTAGATGAGAAGGACGAACTGTAACTTACTGAAAGCCAACGACTAAACTCTTCTTAAAAGAATTCATCGCACACAACGTATATCGTTTCTGATCAAAAACTGAGTAAGGACGTTAATCGGGAATCGGTATACAATAATTCATACTCGCCCGAAAATTTATTTTGTATCATCAGACTTAATATCTATATATATATATAATATATATATATATATATATATATTTAAGAGATTACATTCATTAATTTCGTAATGAACTTAATGGTAAGGAATAATTCCACTACTCAATGATTTTTGTATGAAAACCCAATATCGAGAGAGATATATATATATATGTATGTATATATATATACACGATATAATCATTTGTCGCTCTGTGTATCCTAAGGAAGACCAGTTCTCAGGTGCAGTTGTCTAGTTTTATAAAACACACGTTTAAGTAACTCTTCCATCCGAAAAGCCAATTTTATACAATTTTGTGTTGCTTTAGGAGAAGTTTAGACTCTCGTCATAAACGTACGCATGTAATTCCCATGTTTGCATCGATCTCCATGTGTTTTTGGATAGGAAAAAGGTAGAGCAGTTTAAAGTACGCGCTCCGTGTGTCATAATGCATTTATTGGCCTGATGATGCTTACTTTTCAAAAGTAAGTTATCTAAGGTACACATAGTTTAATGTAAAAAAATCCTATTTGTAATAAATATACATCATACATTTACATGTATAGCATTTCTACACAAGTCATTTTTATGAATATTGCGAGCTTTATACATACTAGTAGCGCAAGAGAGAAGCTCCGCGGGACAAGGCTATCATTAATTAATTTTTCCCTCTAACGGGACCAAATTTGGAGATTCAGAAACATCAGTCTGTGTTGTGACGCGTTAGTATAACATTTCTATCGTCATCTAATGAAAATGAGTATACTCTTTTACAGTCTTTTAGAGTCTTCCATTACAAGCAAACTTGCTATACGTTACATATTATTTGTACAAACTAACGATTATGTTAAACGTTGCACGTTAGAAATTCTCCAGATGCATTTAACATTTCCTCATTTCTAACATGTGTCCAAAATAATCCTTAGTTTGTATAATTCAGTCTTCTTTCACAACGGCAATACATAAGTGCGATAAAAATGAAATCACCTCCACGTCGATCGCTTGTAAATGGTTGTAAAATTTATAAAAATTCATTCCATTCTTGCATATATCAAGTAGTATGAAAACGCGGTAATCTCAATCTTAATATTTTTCTACTCCAAAGATTCTCATGGCAGTCAAGTATTATGTTGGTATAAAACTTAATTGCTATTAAACTCGTACAAAAATACTGTTACTCTAAATGAATGTACCTACGCTTATAAAATAAATGTCTGAGTTATGTTATCCTTTCAGGCTCTCATTGATTCAACGATGCGTTATTTGATACGTCATTCGATACGTTGTTCGAGTCGCAGTATACTCTCAGATGTGGCACGTTGTTGACGGCGTCGCTGACCGTGCACACCGAGTTTACCTCCGTCAACTCTATGATATCGTAGGACGCATCCTTCTTACATATATATGGGTACAGTAGGAAGGCGTAGTAGGCGATCGTGCTGAGTATGATGACACCTAGAACCAGCGCGATGATCCCCCAGGCCGAGATGATCCCCTTCCGACCTGGGGGCGGCTGCGACTTATTTCTGGACGCCGTCGGTCCCGCGACCTTCTCACTCGTCTTATAATACTTGGCATTTCGATCCTCCGTCTGCTTGGAGCCGTGAGAATATACTCCGCTTTCAGCCGCGGGCAATATCGCTGTAAACATTTCCACTGTCGAATACCAGGAGCAAAAGTGGAGCACAATTAATTAGCGCTGGGACAACAATACACTTGGAGACCCTGTAGTCAGAGACTGGTCTACGATCGTAGAAGAGTGAGATAGCCTATGTTTCTCTCTCACTCGCAGGAATTTGACCAACTCTTATGGCCAGTCTCTGATTACAGGGTCTCTAAATACACTGACAACACGGCGCCGTGATAACTTAAATTGATCCAGAGTCCAACTCAGCGCTCACTTACCGACGACGGCGACGAAGGCTAAAAGATATATCGCCCTCATGATGTTCCAGTCTGTCAGTCCCGGTAATTGACCTGTCAGATATGCAGACAAAGCGTTACCTCGTCACCCTAGTGGTGATACGAGAAGGGACAACCACTCATACGTCCGGACGAGGTCCGCAGGGTCCACTCCGAGTGTCCCCATAAAAAAATAAAAAGTCATTTCTCGCAAATGTGTGCACCCAAAGGGCTTGAAATCTCCCTGCCGCGAGTATAGGGAAATTCACGCAGGGAGCCGGGGCCTCGAGCGAGGCTGCAACGCTGGGACACGCGGACGTCCTCTCCATTTTCCAAACGTCAAAGTGGCAATTATTCATCTTATTCGATCGTTTATCATTCAATTATTAACCTCATTGTCGTTTCAGACTCGGCGGCGTTTGGAGAAACGGCGGACGGAGTCGACGGCTTCGTCGACCAGTGGAGCCATCGGGCGGAATCCACGCCAGTTCACGCGCGGCGGACAAACAGCTGATCCGGTAAACATGGCGGCGTTGAGAGGCTGCATCTCCGCTGCCTGCAGCATTCTGCCGAGTAACATAAATTTACTGGGACACGGCGTAAGTGACTATCTGAATATGATAGATTTCTTTATGATCGATTTCACGTAAATAGAAATTTATCGAGATACGAGCGGTTTGAGTCGTATAATATTGTATTCAAGGCCCGGTCTACACAACGAGTGGTTAGTCAGAAGTCAGAGGCTCGATCGTGAATCTTTTTCTCTAGCGTAAACTCGTGAAAAGCGAAAAATTTCATTAACGAGCTCAAGATTTGTCAATAAAAATTTTCACTTCTCACGAGTACACGCTTGAGGAGGGATTCATGATTGAGGGCCAGTTTCACAAACGTTAACTGTTAACCAGAGTTCAATATCAACTCCCCTATCTTTTTCTATCTTACGAAGATACAGAGAATCAATTAAGTTCGGTTAGCAATTAACTGACGTTTGTGAACCGGCCCTGAGTCTTTGAACTATAGGTCGGTCCTTTTATCTTCCACCCAGAAAGGAAAAGGATCAACATATAGTTCCGACTTGTGACTAACATTGTAGACCGGGTCTTAGATAAGTGTGGCTGTAATCGATGTGTTCTTTCCTTTGCGTCTAATTACATCTCGTGCTTCCTCTGTGCAGCTGCAACAGATGCGGAACTACGTCGGCTGCAGGGTGTTGCGCGACGAGAAGCGCAGGCGATGGGCGAAGCAGTACGCCGAGGAGCGATTGCGGCTGGTTGCCTTGAAGCGCAACGATATTTTGCCGATCGAGATAAGAGTAAGCGCACTGCTTGCACCTGCGGAAACGACAGGTGTTTCTTTAATCAGTCGAAGAATACAAAATTTTCCTTGCAGGGTGCATTTGTGCAATTCTCTATTATTTAGAAGCGAGCTGTACACATTATTTATAGCGTAATGATATTCGGAGTAATTTAAACCGTATAATGATTATTTCAGGAGCTCGCTGGCAAGCAAATAGATGAAACAATTCCCAGACAGACCGCGTTGAGACAATTGACACCGAGATGTGTCGTGACGTCTCGAGGCCGAGGTACAGTGATACGGTGGAGACTATCACGATTCATCTTTCGCGACCAGATCGATTATAATAAAATGGCTGGAATGCAACGTGCCATTTGGTAGAGCGATACGCACCTTTTGGACTGTACACTACTTGCGCATTGCGTATAAGTGAATCAGTGAAGCGCAAATGATATATATATACGAGAGGATGTGAATAGAATAAACCATCGTTATTATGTTGCCCTATCCTTTGTTTCATTGTTGCTCGTTTTAGTCTTGTTGAAGTTCCTGCTTCCATATTATTTGTTGCAACGTCAGAAGAAGCGAGATGTCATACATTTTTTCCATATCCGCTGAGATAAATTAATTTTTCTGTACTATTCTGCATTTTTTTGTATAGATTAATAAGATATCCCAAGGACGTTTCAGCTTGATGGATTACTAAATAGAGCCCTCTTGACCATCGCCTCTTATCATTCCTTTTTCTCACACTGAAAACTTAAGAATAAATTATGCATTTACTGCAATAAAGATTCATGCAGTATATACAGGTAATTCTATGATAATAATATTTTGCAATTATACATATAATTTATATGTCAGCAACGAAATAATGTGAATCGCCAGTAGTTGATTAACGATAAAAGGAATTGTTAGATGACTTTAGGCTGGCAGATGGTTTCTTTATTTAAAATCGACGTTTTGACCATACGGGTTGTGGTCCTTCTCAAGGAATTCAACAATCTACAAAAACTGATCTCCGTAGGAAACACCATTTTCCAGTCATAGTGTATATTTTGTGTAATTTAAGATTTTCCAGAGCAAAAAAGACTTAAAAGATCAAAAGACAGAGTACAAGTGATTTAAAAGTTCAAGAAGTTTGAACACCCGTAAAACTTTAATGCTCTGGCTCTAATATTGCAATTTTCGAGTAATGCAGAATCACACATTTATGACTCGCAAATTAATTTTCAACACTGCTGTAGGCACTCGAAGGAGCCCGACATAAATAGCCGCGCATAATTTACGGAGAAAAAGAAAAAAGGAAAGCAAAACAATGCTATCAATACGATCGAACATGTGCATTTTATGCTCAGCAAAGCTCTGCGTAAGTGGTAAGGCCGACTATCTGATCGGACATGCGTCGCGTAGCTCTCGGTCTTTGCTCACTAGTGCACATTGGAGACACTCGAGTGGCGGATTTAGACGCGGCTCTGTCACCGAAACCCACCGCCTGCATCTCTCTTCGATATTCATGGCAACGAGAATCACGAACAGCAAGATTTCATGTAAGTACATTACGATTCCCGATCCCTGACATACAAAAGTATCTTCCGGAGAGTCTCGAATAATTAGAACATAATCGAAAATAAAAGAATTCCTTAAACTATCACTTTTTCTGTCGGTTATATGCCCCATAATATTGTTAAGCAATATTTCATGCAATCTAAAATGAAACTGACCAATTGTAAAGCATTCTATTAGTATTGCAAATTTAAAGAACTAAAGTATTTATTTAAAATAATTTGAAATAGTTTACTATTTGTATCTTTTGTACATGTATATATTGTTCTTATTTTTATTATTTTTAACACTTTCATATCAATATTTTTATGCGATGCATAAGTTTCGATAATATCAAATTTAATCAACGTTTTCTTAATTATATCTGTCCTTTATTTGTATTTGTACTATAATTTAAAAAGTACAAAAATAAATTTAAAAATAACCGTACAGATACTCATAGATTATTATCACTTTCTTCAGTTCGCGTAAATACGCAAGTAATTTTACACGAGTACTTTTACGATTTCTTGCATAAATTTAATAGCGGAAATGTATGGGCGACATATATCCCACTTGGAAATTACACGCGATAGCCACTTAATAACGTTTGACAAGAGTCATTCGAATAAATGAACATGAAATGACGTTGCATTTGACGTGCGAACCGGTTGTCTGCGTCAACATATCGGGTTCACATCCACGCTGGACAAACAGCCAACCCTTTCGAGTGACAGGATGCGATGGCTCATTCGTATCCGATGATATGACACGACGATAATTAATTGTCCAAGTTATTATGTTCTTAAACGAGCACTTCAATGTACTTTTGTAAAGTAAAAACGTTTATATCGATGTTTGCCGAATGTGAAAAACTCGATTGTCTGACAATAAGTTTTATTAAATTGCTGAAAACATTTATGGTCGCAGTATGTCCCTCGATTCTCTAAGACACGTACACAAACTTTATGTCAATGTACGTATCACTTATAATTATGCGTCACATTATATTCCACCAATTACCATTTTGTGTTTGAAAAAGTTTAAAAACCGTGTACGAAACTATAATGAGACGAAATAAATAGTTATACAATAATATGTATAATACATTAAACTAATTACTGCATGGCCATTCCGAAACCATTTTGAGCGTTTCCAATCTATTTCTCAAGTAAAATGTAGTAAAATCTTAAGTTTACGTCACGTATACTATATTTCTCAAGTTAAATTACGTAAAATCTATAGTTTACGTAACGTATACTATAAATTTTAAGTACTGGCAGTGAATATCGGGAGCTTATGAATACCGGCCATAGTATAATACACGGAGAATTTTGTCTTAACATTTATTCTGAAAATCATATAACCGTGGGACGATTTGGCATTTTGGAGATCGAATTTTGTGAGTTTTCTGAAATTTTACCATACATTTTACTAGTAAACCGTCCGAAACTAATGCATTTCAATGCCCATTGCATTATAGAGAGAATTATGCAACACACAATTACATCATTCACTCAGTCTTGTTTCCTAATGCGACTTGTGCGTGTATAATGAAAGCCCTCCAGGCGCCCTCAGTTTAATCAATCGCGAGCGATGTTGCGAATTAACATTTAGGTAACAGTCAGTGTTAATATGCTCAAATGCACAAACTCGATAACAAATTGAAATATTTCTTTCGAGAGGAACGCAGGTCTCGGAGAATTTTAATTTTTCCTTTTTAGCAAATTAAGAAAATTCGTATGGCTCAAATGTGATAAACATAAATTTGAAGGAATAAAGGACTAAGAGCCGTGACAGGGTGTTGGTGTCTAAATATTTTATTCTAAATTTACTTTTTAATTTTATGTCTTTTTACGAAATGACCGATTCGATCATATTAGGATTTCTGCTGTAATGGGTGGTTGGCTAAACGTGAGTGACGTGATGTTCAAGACAAAGCGAATACTTGCAATCAGTGCGAGTTCCAAGAGGAGCGGCATAACTCGTCAAAAAATCCTGCCATTCCTGAAGAAGAAGAAAGACAAGCTGAACGGGATAGAAACTCAATTTTCGGACTCTCACCCTCCATCTCCGCCGAGGACACGGCCGTTCCTTCACAGTGGTTTCTCGGGCGAGCAAACTCTGCCTGCGAACAACAATGTAAGTATTGTAAAACGGCTTGACTGCTTGTCTCATATATCGCAGAAGTTTTGTTTCAAGCTTCGAAGAAAAGAAGGAAGATTATAGAAAATATAAAGGAAACCGAGGAAAGTGGTTTTCTTCAATAAGTTCTAAAAGAATCTTAGAAAATAGGTCAACGCATCCACCATCTCCTGAATTGTTAAAAAAAACCTCTTTTAACACTTAAAACGTCTTTTGCAGGATCCAGAGAGCTTCCACTGTGCGATGGGGCCGATTTTAGTGATAGCTCAATTGTTCGGAGTTTTACCGGTTTCAGGAATATGCAAACCGAGTCCGTCGCAGTTGAAATTCGAAAAATTTTCATTTCGTACTATCTATACCGTTTTCATAAACGCGTTGGTGTTGGTTATGGCGATATTGGCGGTTATTCACATGATAACAACGCTGAACTCCAATACTTTCCAAGTGAAAGGTAAACAGATAAGTATTTTATTGTGGCTTTGTGCCGCACTATGTCGCATCTATTTGGAAAATGATACACGTATCTCTGTTACATAGTGATGCGAGGATAATGATACGCAGAAGGATCAACTCGTAATATTATATTAATCAAAATTCTCAGCAGTTTAAAGATGTTGTCTTCGCGTCTAATTCTTGACTTTATATATATTTGAACTGAAGAAATACTGCCGGCTAAACGAATTTAGTCATTTCAATAATTTGTTTCTCAATGTAGATGCGAATGGAAGGCTGCTCATTTTCATCGATGTATCAACTGCACTCACTCTTTTATTTTCGAAACCCTCAGTTCAACCTATACTTAAATGCGATTGGATTTTAGGAGGAGTAGCGTCTGCTACTGCAGGCGCGATATTTTACACGAACAGCGTGATAGGCCTGATAATATTTTTCTGGCTGGCTCCACGTTGGGTAACTCTTCAACGCGATTGGAGGTCTATGGAACAATTTATAGACAGGTACATAGATATCAGCATGTTTAAGAAAGCTTAGACAATCGTCGCTGACTGATCGATGATCACGCCCACACACCTCATAATTGCATACGCAGCTGCACAGATTCGCATGGGCTCGACCGATTGAGAGATGCAACTCTCGAGAGATTGCGATCGCAACACGCGTGCTTCGTACATGCTTCACGTAATGACAGCAGGTGTTACAAGAACAATAACAAGCATCGTATTCAAATCCATTTGACGTAGCTTTATACTTGTGGATCAAATTACACATTACAATATTACAGTATCACTCTTTTTGAGGGCAAATATACGTAATATATAAAACACGTATTACGTTTATATAATTTGGCGTAATATAAATGAATCTGACTTTTGTTGCTAACTACGCAAATACACGGTGATCGCATGTACGTGACATCCATCGTCAAAAGATATCTTCGCTTGTAATCTACCTCGAACGACGTAAATGTTTAAAGACTCCTCGTTAAAACCACTGACTTTTAGAATCGATTGTTTCTTCTTGGAAATGAGCTCCCAATGAGCAATATTTCTGTTTAAAGTCGATTAATTTTGTATTACGTTACATGTTCTGCCCATTTATCAGAAACTTTTGATTTTGCAGTAATAAGATGGAACGACCGAAGCTCCGCTGGAAATTCTATGTGATAACCGCTTCTATTCTGCTCATGGCTCTTGCCGAACATATCTTGAGTATATTAGTGAACACCACAAAGTACGACTGGAGCGGCAGGTCGGAAAATTCGACATTTCAAAATTTTCTGCAAATATATTGTATGTCTTCTCACGCGTTTATCATGAAGACCCGTAAGTAGCGATCTCTCAGCCACTGATTTAAAAACATGATTTGCAACCAAATTAAATGATAATTAAGTAACATTTCAATAGCAATCTAATTAAGTAAATTGATTAAATTAAAAAGTATTAGACTGTTTTATTATAATAGTATTCAACAGTTATCATTTTTTACGCATACGTAAATTTGCAATTTTTTTTATTTTCTCTTTAATTCCTTTTAATTTGTTCACCTCCTTCTAATGGCAGCTCAGTTTGACTGTGTCTACAAAGTAATTAAACTTACACTCTTTTCCCTGAAGACTTGTTTATTTGATCGCTGTGTTTCTGTCCTCCTGGATTTGTTGCAAAACTTTGGTTACTCTATGAAAACTTAGAACTTTTTTATTTTCAGTGAGATATAACCTCGTGCTTGGTATTTTCATTTTTATCGCCAGCAAACTGGCGACTTTCACGTGGAACTTCACTGACGTTTTCGTCATGTTGGTAATAAAACTTTGCGCGTAATTGAACATATTCTTCTCTGTTCAAACTCAAATGTTTTCAATCCTAATTAACTGAATCGATTTGTTGGTCGGAGTTTTCAGGTAGCTACTGGCTTGGCCGAAAGATACAAAATGTTGAACAAACTAGTTGTAAGTTCTACATCGAAGCAGCGGACAATAGACTGGTGTGGTTTGCGCGAAGATTACGCTGCTCTTAGTTGCTTGGTAAAAAAGGTTGACAACAATGTCGCACCCATCATTTTACTGTCGTTTGCAAACAATCTTTATTTCATCTGTTTACAGCTACTCAACGAATTGTCGTAAGTATCTCGAATAGAAGGAAAGTCCATGACAATAAATAATCTTTTTTATATAAACTTATCTTTTTATGAATAAACTTTTTTTTCTATTGCTTTAGCTGATGTAACTGCAATATACGACAGTAATGATACGCCTTGTTTAATAACAAATTGTGGACATAAAATTAAAATTAACGCGACATACATTAACACAATGCAAACGTCCATTTCTAATTTCTCATTTTATTTCTTACAGAAAGCCAGAAAACGATGGCATAATCAGCGACATATATTTTTTCGGATCCTTTGTGTTCCTGATCGGCAGAACAGTGACCGTCACCCTACTCGCTGCTAGGATCTACGATCAAAGTAAAGAAATATTGCCGCTGTTGTATACTTGTTCAGCGTCCGCTTACAACGTAGAGGTAAACCTTTTAAATTTCATTAACATAGGGGAAGCAGTAAATGCCGTATCCTTTGAAATCCTTTGAAATTATCAACGTGTTGCGTAAATTATTTAGTTAATTCACTTAATTTGTTAACATGATTTATGATAAATCACATGGTTGTTTTCTAGACAGAAAGGCTGATATATCTACTCTCCACCGATGACATCATGCTTACGGGAATGCGTTTCTTCTCTATTACGCGAAGCTTTATGTTAGCGGTAAGAACGAATCAAGACTCAATTAAAAGTTCTTCATAGTACAATAGCTCTTCTTAATAAAGAGAGTAATTTGACAACTGCGGTATATTGTTTCATAATGTCACGGTAATGCATAAAAATACAAATACTAAGGGCGTAAATAAAGTAGAGGAAAGTTCTCTATTATGACAATGGAGTCTAATATGAGATAGTAAGTTTTCAACGTCCAAATTTAATTATAAATCTTTTTTCGCAACGATTACACGACCTAACAATCAACTTTCCGCTAAACAGATGTCACTCCAAGGGCAATAAATTCACGGTGGAACCAACAAATGATGCCTATTAATTTAACAGAAATTCCGCTACCTCATATTAGAAATCTATCTCATAATAGGGTATTTTCCTCTATGTTTTATATATTACTTGATTTATCTCTATGTATGTTAATAGCATCAGAAACGCGAAAGATTTAATTAATACTTTTGATATTATCATATTTATGATTTTCGATATCTTTACATAATGATAATTCATTTAAAATTCATGTACAGGTGACCGGTGCAATTGTAACGTACGAAGTTGTACTGCTACAATTTAACATCTCGAACAACAAATAAGTATGTAACAGTGTAATGTTGCCGATAGGCAAACTGTTATGCAAACTAGATTGTATAATATAAGTATTTGTATTCATTGAAATTAAAGAAAACTATCCTACGCATTATCATTTCCCCACATTTTTAAATAAATGCTACATTTTCTATTTTACAATTGCATACTATTTTTTTAAATGTATTTTCTAACAATAATGCACGGAATATTGATTGTAACTAGAACATGGTTATTTTAAAAATGTTGCACAAAATGTTACTTTAACTACTATTTAAATTTTTTTTTCAATTTGTATCATTTCAATATATTTTCCAATACATATTCACATACGATGTCAAGCTATTTTCGATCATTTAAAGTAAACTGTTATAATTATATACATGTATATATATATTATTCGTTAATCTTACATTTGCATTCAGGTTGAGGTTGCATAAGTTAAGGTTTCAATGTGCTTTAGGATTTAATTATATCTTTCAATCTCTGATACTGTATTTCTACGTAAATATAGGTAATTCTTTTAAAAAATAATATATATTCTCTGTAAAAAATTCTTAGATATTATATTTAAATAACATTTTTAGTTTATTGTTCACAGGTAACATTTATAAAATTATTGCAATATCATAAACAGATAAAAATACATTTGTATGTGCCTTTGATCCATTCCTGTGGATAACGGAGTGTTCTCCGCATTTAAATGTCTAGTGCGGTATATATCTACATATATATTGTCTTATAACAATACTAGATTCAACGTTGGTGAAACATCCGTTTTGCTTTTCTCCAGAGTATATCGGATTAATTAAATCGGAGAGACTAGAACAAAAAGTAAATCAAGAAATAAAATCATGCAAAAGTAATAAGCAAGATATTACGAAAGAGAGAGAGAGAGACACAGAGATAGAGATAAATAGATGAGAGAGAAAGAGAGGGGGAGGGGGAGAGAGAGAGAGAGAGAGAGAGAAATTAGGAAGAAAGTAAAATAATATATTGCATTAAGAAAACTTTATTTATTCTTACATACTTATCTTACGTAAAATTGCAGAAAAATTACCATAAGCAATGTGAAAATAGACGACTGGAATCCAGCGAAAATTTTATTGTACCTATATCACAAAATATAATATAAAAACTAAGATATATGATAAACGTAAAAGAGAAAGATCTAATATATTATATAAAAAGCAAGTTTGAGGAAATTGGTTGCAAAAGAGGGGAAGAATTAGAAAAGTGCTATAATAAAATGCAACGATATAATGCAGTTTAAAATTTATTTAATGGTGGCAATGATTATAATTCATTATAATAGAATTGTGGAATTTCTATAGTTAAAAATATAATGCTATAGATATAGATGATATAGCGATAGATATAGATATAGATGTAGATATAGATATAGGGTATAGATATAGATATGAAAGAATCTAAAATTATATCGTAGTAGCTTCTAAACGACAGAAATTTTCTATGTACGAGGTACTTATAAGTTTTGGTAGAGAGTCGAATCCAATTGTTCATGAAATAGACAAACAGCGAAACGGTGAATTAATTTCGTTGAATTAGTTAAAGGTGTACGAGTGCTGTAAGAGTGTGTAGATAAGAGTAAAGAAATTTGTGATGTGTAAGAGCGCAGTACAGAGTTGTATTTACATGATAAAATACTCTATTGCATATTTTTCAAAACTCGTGTGATTTGCAGAAGCAGATATAGGTGGTCGAAATCCTTAAAAATCTTTTCGTAAGTTCTCTACCTCACCTCGCAAACGTTCGTTATATTCGACTGGTCCACTTGCTGGACGGTGTTGAATTGTACCAGAACCAGTTCATACGTCACGATGGTTCCAGCAATCTAAATCATTCGTAATCGGAATAGTGGATCGGAATGTGTCAAACACAATTCATAAGCGTTATTTGAAGGTAATCTAAGTCTTGTCTCGATGACAAACAATATTCATCTTTCATTATTAAGATAAGTTATATATAAAATTATCGTAAATAGAAAATAAATATATTTTCACATTTTTCAGAAGGTAAATATGCAATAAAAAGATAGTACGAGTGGCACGCAAAAATAATTAAGCAGGCACGATTAATCAACAGTACTTTGCAGCGGGGTAAGTTTGTTTTTAGTCAAATAAGAGCCCAAGTAATCTATACTTAGCCCGTTTGAATTATCGTACTCACGGTTAACACAAGGCCCCTCGTCACGGAGAAGAATTTCATTCCTGTCAAACTGATATTATCCGTCGTTACTTGCGTCAAGAATCTTGAGACCTGCGCAACACATTGTGCAAACTTATGTGCGAACTTTGTTTAAGTGGGAGGGCGATCGAGAAAGTTAATTCTTATACATAAATAGCATTTATTTTTTTCTCGACGTATAATCTTTCAAACCCCCACAAGTTTCTTGACCATAAAGGGAAAACTTCTCTTTAGTAAAAAGTTTCTAATTTATTTATAATGTACAAAGAAGAGATATACGTTGAAAGACGTTAGATTTTTACTTAAAGCTCTCGCCCCACCCCCCTCTCTCTCCCTCTCGGATTATCACGCGTCAGTTATGGAGATTAATCGATCTAGACTATATAATAATATTCCTCTCGAGAACGAACCTCGTTGCCGTAACTAGAACCAGAGACGCTGTACAAAATTGGTGCCGGTAGTCGGGACTCGTCGTGAATGGAAGCTGCGTACAAGGATACTGCTGTTGTCCTCGCCAACAGAAAGCCGAAAGAAAAGCAAAAGTAGATCTTCCGCACGATGCCGCGTATTGGACTGTTTGAAAAATACATGCACAATTTTATGCGATCTATTTCCCCCAGAAACTCTCGTGACGTAAAGTTTTCTTATAAAACCATCTTGCGTCCGAACAAAACTAATATTGGCACAAAACTAATATTGGCACAAAATTATTATAAATTAATGAACATCAAAACACAACAACAAAATTATTATAAATTAATGAACAGTGAATGTTACTTGCAAATATATGTCTCAATATTATGTGCATTTATATAAGTACAAACGAAAGTTTTTGCATTTGTCTCTAAGAAACTCAATGTCTGTTTAAAGAACACTTGTTATGTTAATATTAAGGTGTTAGATATGTATGTATAAAGTATACTTGAAGGAGAACAGCAATTGGATACAGATAAAGTACAAATCTGTAGCAAAGGCCAGAAGCACGATGCTCGAGATGTGACAGTCCACCCTGCGCGTAAGAGTCGCCAAGTGATTGTAATCATTCCTGGCTTCGGCCCACCACCACTCCGGCATTGCCTTAATAATGAGATAACAGCCACGAGTTGTTAGTAGAAGCAAAAATGTTTAAATTAATCAACCCCATTTTTTTCTCATATTAATGCATATCGACTGATGCAGTTTTTGTCTGTTTAAACGCTCATTCTGATCCTAAATAAGCATTTAAGCAGAAAAACCGAAAATTGCATGAAACCGAGATATGACCTTGCGAAAGAGATCAGTCGATATATCACATTGCAAAATTTGGATTAATGATTAAAATATACAACAGTTTGAATAAAGGATATGGATACGATTAATGTTTACACAGGATAAGGCGAGTATCTTGTAATAGTTGGCAGCATACCTTTCCCCGTATTAAATAGAGACGACTGTTCAGTTGCCTGAACTGGTCCGCCAAAGCTATGCTGATAAGAATAAGGAACAGATCGACGAAGTTCCACGAGAATGTGCTGAGGATATTTAGAGTTTCAACCATGATCCCCTTCCAGAGACTGTAGGACAGTCTTGTAAAGATCTGTATAAAGTAGATCAATCAATATTACATGTGGATTTAGCAATAACCGAAAGCACATGCATAAACTGCATTGTTTCATTTAACTTTGAACAATGTATTTCGTTTACAGAGAGAAAGAAAGGCAACGCATTTTTAACGCTTACACGTGAATTTGACTCGAAAATGCAGTAAAATACAAATCAAGTGTATCCAATATACTACCTGAGGGAATTGCGATTGAAAATAAGTACCGACGATATCCGTTTCACCACGATACACCGCGCATTCGACTGCACTGGCGTATGCAGAAAGCACAGCGGCACCGTGTTCCACTGCATGAAAATGTTTAATATAAATTCGCATGCGTTTTGCGCAATTTTTATATACACGTTGACATTGGCGTTCAAAGACAAGCAGAAGTAGTAAAAGTACCAAGTAAAGGATAAATACCGCTTTATATATAAAATCATACCGCTTATATAAAAAAATACCGCTGCGTTCATTCTTGTAACGCAGCGGTAAGCAAGTTTTATCGAGAAGAATAAATCTAAATATAAAGTCCCCTATTATGAGATAGGCTCCTAATACGAAACAGCAGGAGCTTCTGCTAATATGTTGGTTCCACCATGAATTTATTGCCCTTGGAGTGAAATCTGTTTAGCGAGAAATTGATCGTTAGATTGTGTAATCGATGCGAAAAAAAATTTGTGATTGAATTTGGACGTTGAAAACCTACTATCTCATATTAGAGTTCGATTCAGTAGTGGTAGAAGTAGAATTCCGTTCGTAAAATATGTAAGCGCAATCCCCGTTTTGTTCATTACGATTAGCACTCACCTAGCGCAAGCAACATGACGACTGCGGTTACGATTTTAAAACGAGTTGCGAGACTAGTCTTCGAAATCCGCCGATGTCTCGAGGTGAATTCGCGTTCCAGTTTCTCCCAAGTTAACGCCAGGCAAGGCCACTGCATCGCCAGTCGTACGAACATGACGGCGGTCACGAGGGCCGTGGCGTAGAAAACGAAAGTCGCTGGTATTTGGAATAAGTATCGCTCAGAAACGGCGGACCAGGCGCCTAAATTTAACGTTACTAATTGTGAGACGAGGCTGACTTACTCATTTTTGTAGAGTTTATCCCCGAGGTGAACAAGCGCAGGATGTTGGCGATTGACATGAGCAACACCCCCAGGAAAACAATCGCCGCATAAAGGATTTTTAGGTTGCGCCATGTAAATCTGCAGGACATTCGTGAGGCTCGTGAGAGCTCCGGTCGTGGATCATAAAAAGATCGAAGAAGCTAATTAATCTCGAGACAAACGACTCGACTAGGCAACCGCAAAACATTTTTGTTTTCGCCTACCGGAGGTACGAGGCGTCCGGTTTACTGACACCGCACACTGGAAGCATAGAGAAACATTGGGCCAACATGATAATCGGTCGCATGGCCGCGTGTAGACTATCGGTGGAAGGATTGAAGGTATCCGACGGTGGTATGACGGGTGTCAGCACTAAAAATCACAGTGACGTGATAATTCACATGTATCAAGATAATCAGGTCAAGGCCGGACTTACTTTCGGGCATCACTACGTCGGTCTTCATGGGATCGAACCTGCTGTTGCGCAAGTTACTCTTGGGCGATCTGAAAAGAATTGCTCTTATTCCGTGGACCCACCGCGACTTTCATCGTGCAGCTTCCCAAATCGTTTAAGCGAATAATTTATTGCTCACAATCAGCGGAGTGTTTTAAAAAATGGGGTATTTGAGAGGCAAAAATGAAGCGAATTTTCTTTTGGTATTGTCAGGAGCGCCTTATCGACCGCTACACTTTCAACGTGTACTAAACGGCATTTAAGATTTATTACTTTTTAAAGCAAAGAAATTGATTTATGTATATTTGAGATTTTTTCAATGTTAAGACATCCCTCGGCAAGTGAAGAATACGAGCCGGTTATTGTTTAATTAATTAATCTCATCCGTTTAGAAAAGATATGAGTTAGGCTTCCTCTCTCCCTCGTGGTTTGCTAACTTCGCTTAATACCCATTTACACCAGATTAATCGAGCACGACTCCTTTTTCAAAGACGCAGGAGATTTATCACTCGGAAACGCACCTTGCACGAGGCACGCCGCGGCTTACGGTGTGCACAGAACACGATTTCATGACGGACAGAAGATAGAACTCGTTATTTCAGAACTTTATCATACGGCGAGGTGGCAGGACGGAGGGAGCTTTATAAACATCGCAGGTTCAATAAATGTCCACTTCGGACAGCCAGTGGAAACTCGGGGCTGCTGAAGCCTCGTCCTCGACAACGGGGCGCGAGAAACTCGCGCCCGTATACGGAGAGGGGAGAAATACGCGCCTCCGAGGAGCAAATTCTCACGTCATCGCGTACGATATTGGAAAATAATTAAATTAGAAACAATAGGAAAATATTTAATAATTATGTTATTCTGCTCGTGCCACGTGAAATGAAGTACAGCACTTTGGCGCACGAGACAGATGGAAAAATGGTATATGAATTCACATAATAAGATTTGAATTATTGGGCAACCTACACCCTGCTTGGGTCTACATGGCTTTCTCGTTGGTCGTTTGACTTTATATATTTTTCGTGGAATAATGGCGCGGCAGAAACGTACTAGTATAGTCACGATATGGATCATTTAAATAATTAGTCTGATGTCACATTCAACAATCGATTATCCCACGCTTTGGAATAAAAAAACAATCGAACAAGTCAAAGTGCGGAATCCTCGACACGCAAAACTTGTGTAACAGCTCGGGACAACTGGTACCACGCGGCATTCATTTTTAATACGCGATTAGAATAGATAGAACGACATATCCAACAGTATATTAATATCTAATAATATTATTTTATTAATTAGTTATACAATATAACGATGTGTTAAAATTGAAAGCAAACGTCAAAGAAAGTAATCATGTAATGCCCATACACGTAATAAAAAAAAAAAGATTAGTAGTCACAACTAATTTCAACGGTTTCGTGAATTGCGCGACCATTAGCCGAGACTGCACGGATCATTAAATTAAAATGTTTACACACAGTTAACTTTGTTGAAGAAAGGGCGTTTATTTGCGAATCATAATTGATAAATCGATTTTTATTATGCAAAGTGCTCGTTAGTCGAATCCGCTCGGTTTTTCCGAACCTTCGAGAGTTTCGTTCCTGCTACGTTTATCCCATTAAAAGAGATGAAACGAAACCGGTTCGGCTTCAGTTAAACGTTAAACAAAAATATCCAGATCAAATATCGTGCTCGAGTGTCCGAGTATTGAGCGATAGAGCTTCGTTTCTCACTCACTCTGCTATAAAACAACTTTGGAACTGATACGCTAATGTAATATATTTTCGAAATGCTCGTATCGAAGATATCCATATCGCGAAATTCGGTATATACGATTTATGTTACTTACTGAACATTAATCATGAGAGGACGCCGAGATTTTGCAGCAGTCCACTGAAGATAACGCGTATCGGCGTCACCTCTTTTATTCTCATTCATCTCTGTTACGTGTTAAAATCTTCCTAATAACGGACATCGCACGAATTCGTCAGAATTGTCCACGTCCTTCTAAAATCAGGTCGGCACACATTTCTGTACGAGATTCTACGAGCGAGTTACTACGCGTAATCCAATTGAGAACGCATTTGAAACAAACTTCGACAAACGAAAAGTGATTGCGAGACTTTGGCGAGAATCCCTTTACAAAGGAACAAATCGAAGATGGAGTTATGTGTATCGTGACAAACAAAATTTTACTCATTTTTTCTACAAAGCGCAAAAAAATAGGGCGCGTTGAAAAGAATTGACAGGAATCCGTTTTGCGAAATCGAATTCTCAGTCGAAAAAAATAAAAAAATGTCTAAACTCCGTCCTCTCGTTGCGACGTTTCGAAATGAAAGATATCGCGCAAAACCGAACTAACGTTCAAAGCTTCGAAAGAGAAAACAAAGGGGTGGATAACTATAAATCCTTCCGGCATTTTGAAAAGGAGCGATAGATCATTACCGAGCGCGAGGTTAATTTGCAAAATAAAATTTCGATCTCTATTAATTTACATGGTATTCCTTTACGAAGCAGGATACGTGGCCGCAGGGTAATACTTTAATGCGCGTTAGGGTAGAACAATAAGGCGCGAGTTACAAAACAATATCGCCTGCCGCATTGCACGCTCGGACGTGCACTGACAGCCGTGGTGGGAAACCCTATAACTTATGCGCTTATTGTCTCTATCCCGCATGTAATCTTTGCTTGCACAGGCCGGAGAAATAACAGCCTCCAGCGCGCGTTTGTAGCGGCTCTCGCACCTGTGTGCGGCGATTTGACACACCTGACAAGAGCCGCATTCATTGTCGCACGTAACAAAGAGGTACTCAACTTGCCGTTTGCGATTTGCAACCCGCAACCTCGCCCCCTCAAATTTGTATTTGTACGCGCGCGATTACGCGTACACGCTTCCGGCGCGTCGCACCAAGTTTTTGACGACGAGATTTTCCGAGAGAAGTTAGAACGAATCTCACAATAAATTGTTAAACAATAATAAATTCGACGAAAATCGCTGAATTAAAACCCCTATCTTATCTCAATGAGATAGAAAATTAGGTGCAAATCAGGGTGTTAAATCGTCGAGTAGCTACGTGAAACAAGTCGATCATTGTAAGCAATTGCATTAGACATAATTGCGCGAATCGTATGCCAGCCTGGAGGGTTTGATAAAGAAGGAGAAAAACGTGGACGATGATAGCCGCTTCGCGGAAACGTCAATCCTCGGGATTAGAAGCACACGTGGAAAGGCGAGTTTTTGCGCTGTTTACTCAACGTCTCTGACGACCTGTTATATACATTAAATGAGAGTATGCATCCATCATACCTTTCACTCTCGCCTATCAAGGATGCACCTGTCCGGGCTCTAAACTGATAAGCGCTCGATGTCGATGCAAATGTCGACCGCGGTCTTGAAATCTCTAAACAACCGATATCTAGCGAATCTCGGCCGGCGGACAAAATTGTTAGGTTTCGCACTATCAGATGTGATTATTTAAGATTCGAGTACCTATATAGTTAAGGAAACGTATTTGCATCATGGTTGCTGGGAACTGATTGAAAACTGCGATTTTATCAATTCGTAAGTTTACTCTACGAGTAAATGGATTAACATAAACCAAGGGAAATATGACTATTTTTATAAAAATTAAAGAAATAGCTGGAAAATCAGGTATGATACAGGGCTTTGTTTATGAAACGGGTTTTTCAGAGTAACTGAGATTATATTATTTTCTTTTTGCGCTAAACTAACAATTAAAACTGCGATTTAGTTAATTCGTCTGCAAATGAATTAATAAGAGGAAAGAGACGCATTGAAAAAGAAAACAATTCGTGTGAAAATTAAAGAACTAAGCTGGAAAAATCCAAGCTGGGTACGACGATGAGGACTCTATTTGTGCGAAACAGATTCTATTATTTTCTTCCTCTGTTTGAGGTGCATATTTTACGCGGCGACATGTAAAAACTGCGGAAACAGTAACCGCGTATCGGCGGTTCGCCACCACATTTTGCGGAGGCTTCAAGCTCTCATCACTGAAATGGGTCATCCGGCGTTTTCCCTTTCTCTCACGCGCGTACAGACGCGCGGGACGCGACGGTGCCGTCTTTGTCCTGTCCTCTCACGGGCATTTTCCCGGGCGACGCGCACGTGGACGGTCTCGTCTTCCTGACGAGCTGTGCAAACGGAATTTCCCCATTGTCCCGCCACACCTGCCACCGTATCTCGGATGCGTGGAACAGTATGCGCGCATACTTTCCGTATGCAGGCGCATGCTGCGGTTCCCGCAAACCGCGGCCTACTTTAATATCCTCCCTTTATGCGCGCGAGAGCCGATAGATTCGCGCTTACCGCGAGACCTTCTCGTCGTTTAACGGCTGTTCGAGGGGGCACCTCGCGATAACGTCGACCGTCGTCACCGTTAAAAAACGTGTCTGCGTTAAGCCGTACCGATACACAAGGGGAAACTACCTTGGGGGAAAGAAAAGTTTGTCCGCTTTCTGTCTTCTCGGAAACCCCTGCCTTGCTTCGCTCCAGACATTTTATTATCAAAAATAATTAAGTATCTAGTTTGTATAAATGTCCATTTTAGTTAGCGCCATTTGATGATAGCATTACTTTTGTAGAGAAGATAAAAATGTTTCTTTTTTCTAACAAAATATGTCCAAATAATTAAATTATATAATTCTCGATTGGATGGCGCTTATATTTGGCGTCTTTTTCATCTTTTTTATTAAAAAAGGTTATTCTTTAAGGTGATCGTTGCTTACATCAGTCACTTGCAAACAGATTTATCTAAAGTGTATTACATCGTAATACATTTTAGATAAATCTGTTTGGAATTATACCCGCGCTACATTTGCGAGAGATGCGCGGTGCAGTTTCCTTTTTCGGGCTATACTTTACGTCAGATTTTGCAAAGTGAAATTTTACGCATATTTTTACGCAGGTAAATCATAATAAATAAGCGTGATAAAGTAATGAGCTGAGCAAACTGTCGTCAAATTTAATAATTGTTTTATCTCAATGGAGAGAACATTTGTAAGAGCCTTGCCCTCTCATTTTTACGCAGATTGAAAGATTTCAGTGAATAAAAAGGTTCTTTGAATTAATCGAAGTACAGGAGACCCTCGATTCAACTAATCTCGATATAAAAGATTTGAGATTTAACAAATCGGCCAAATAATAATACAGTACATTAATAATGTTAATAATTAAAAATTAAAACAGAATTCAACAATCCTAAACTCTGTGACAGATAAGTTAAAAGGAAGCGTGTGAATTGAATGTAACACAAAAATTCGAGCTAATTGGGAAATTAAGATACTCCCCAACTGCACTATCGAAAAGTGAGCAACTGTTACATACTCTTCATTACAGTTTAGTATTTTTACATTTACACAGTACTGTACATTGTATCAAAGCTTTTTTACATTAAAAACAAGCAGAAAATGGCCATTCGGTTATTTTCACAGCCTTTCCCTTCTAGCCCGTTGAATCGAGGATTTGCTTACCACAAGAGCCGATTTCAGCGAGCTCAACGCTCAACGTTGTGTACAATCTCGAGAGACGAGAATTACTTTCCACGTTATAGGAACAGGAAAATGGTGAGGTTGCGTAAGGAGCTGGCGACGTATGAATCAAAATTGTATTGTGTTCCCACGGGTAGAGAAGTAACGTACATCGTTTTACAATCGTGTGTCGATCTGTTCCGCGCGCGCACGGGTCTCTCTCCTCGCGGGAAATACCACACTCACGCACAAAGGCCATGGGGGATGCTCGACCGTGCCTCGCGCCGCGATCGATCTCCATTATTTTTTAACAATAATTGCAGCGGTATCGTAGACCGGTGTTATCGGGATGGGCGCAATCGCGCGTTATCGCGCCCCCGATCGTCGACGCGCTCGGAGAAATCATTTGCGTCGAAATACTAATCGCGAACGTTGACGGCTATCGTACGAGTGGATCGGCTCTGTTACAATCCGCTCTTTTTTTTATCGTGCAAGCACCCGTTTACAGCCCGTTATCTCCGGTCGTCGCGATACCGTTATTGACTACGAAAAGCAGGTACGCAGGTGAAAAACACATTATCGACGCTCGGATCCCTCCCCCCCCCCCTCCGTCGCTCGAAAGCGCGGTCGATTCTTAAATTATAAGCATCGCACGATTAGATAGCGCAACACGAATTTGATTAGAGATCATTTATCGTTGCTTATCACACGTGTTTCCGCGGAATACTTTGTCGAGAGTCTTAGCGGTGCTCAATAATACGGCCGAGCCAGAGCGAATTTGCGCTCTCGAATCGATCCTATCGGCCTAGATATCGAATTAATTTTATCGCCAGAGCGTTCTGCGTCGTAACAAGTGGCCCAAGCCAGACGAATCTTCTCCCTCGTCTGCCGTCCCTCGTAAGTGCGTAAAGACGAGATCGCCGAGAGACACGCAGGTCCAAAAATGTTTATTTATGTCACGCACGGAACGTGAACCATATTCTACGACGTACGCTTTACGCCGAGTCCCCAATCGCAGCTCCCGTTTGCCCGGCGCAGAAAAAAAATGGCCTCCTCGCTTGAAACGCAAATGGATCGTGAAACCGAACGGCTCTCGAGAGGGTAGTTTTCAGCGCGAGACGTACGTTGAGAATACGGGCGTGTGCGCGATTACACGACGACGTGCCTATATACAGATTTAATCGTCCGTTAAACATACCTTATTGATTAACTTAATACTAACTATGCTCGTACGCATGTTCGTGAAAATCCAGGACAACCCCGCGATCGAGTGAACTGTATCACCCTCGGGTAATCTACACGTATGTATGTACACATCCGCCGTCGTTATGTTATTACACGCTTTATTAATTCCATCTATACAAACATCTACTCGGCCGCTAAAAAAAGTGCCTCGGTACTTGGCGCGTTGCCGCCTGCTGTATAACGTTCGTTAATGAGAAGAGCTAATCGAACGGTAACGGAGCGGCCTAAGTAAATGCGCAACGTTTAATAAAATTAATATCGCGATACCGTACCCCGTAACTTAAATGTCGCAAGATTTATATTTTCAAAATAAATTTTTTAAGGAGAAATTACGGTCGTTGAGACCTCGGAGTTAATCTCGCACGAGTTAACGTTCTAGAACACGTTGTCGGAGCAGTGCGTCGAAAGGCCGCTCTCGAGTACTTTTCTCACCGCGAGAGTCTAGAAATCAATAAGATTTATTCGGGGAAAAAGAGACGAGAGCGTCTCGTCGAAAGCGCGTGGAGTTTAGGCCGCGTTAAATCTCGCACTTGCAATTAGATTCATCGGCACCGAGTCGAGCGTTTCGTTGGCGAATATCTCGAGCGGAGCCGTCGTTCGCTGCAACCTAAATCCTGTTGCAACCAAACTGATCAACGAATCTGGGAATTACGGGCTGGAATTAAGGATCCGGGATTTAACGCAATGTAGGACGCTCTGTTATATTTTGCGTACTGCAGCGACGTCACAAAGTACGCAAGTTTTTTGAGGAGGGATGCGGTAAGTCTACGATATATGACTTCATTAATACTCGTATTTATCACGGATACACTGTGTATTAATATCAATGCCGCTCCTGGTTATTAAAAGCGTACAATTAATTCTCTCCCGCTATCCACGTAGGGCGGAACTTGTAAAATTTAACAACAGCACAAAGTGGAAAATTCTAAATTATTTAACGAGTTTTTCTGATGGCACGTTTTTCATTGGCTCCTTTCTCGTAGTATTTTAATTAATAATCGCGTAATATAAAATAAAACGGGCTTTTCGTAGAAACTTTATTAAAAATATGCATCGCACACACGCACACATGCATACGCAACGGCTGTATCTTTTTAAACAGCATCGTTATTAACAAAGCCAGAGTCGTGCCAAATATTGTATCACATTTAGCGAATTTAACTGCCTCAATATTTACTTTGCCAGTTTTAATACGCTACAATCCTAACAGAGTCTATCTACAGAAATACGTGATGACATCGTCAATTATTCCAGCACAGAAAATGTTGAAACGAGCTGAAAAACATTTTTCCAAATTTCACTTTTCGTCTCGTACCTCGGTAGCGATAAGAAAACGAAGTAAAAAGTTTTCAGTTTATGGACATTTCAGCATTTATTTACAATCTGCTCTCGCATCAATGACAATGAGTCAAAGCGTATCTCGCTTTTAGTCCGAAAAGATAAACGTGCATGATTCTAATGTTCCGCGCAAGCTACTGGACTTTTTGTCTGGCAAAACTAATCCCTTTGGTATTTTTTTATTCGAGTGGCGGGTCGATTTTACCTTAATGGCAAAAGATCATTGGTTCCCTTTTAGTGCTATTCGAAAAATTCATTGTACGAGACAAGCTCATAATTCGTAAAGTTTGCCCGCAAAGTTGAAAGCAAATTTAACAAATTATGATTTCTTGAGAGAAGTCTCATCGAACCCTTGAATTTTCCATCAGTTTCCTTCGAGCCCAAACTCTTGTCAGCTTTCCCGTCAAATATTTTCTAGCATTCCCTAGCGAAAGACGAAACGCGTGTTGGATTCATCGTTTACGCGTGTCAGTCGTTCATCGATACATTCGTAGCAACGTGAACCAAAGAGCACTCGAGGACTTTGTTCATAGAAACGATACACGCTTCCATCGTCCTCATCGTCGTCGTCATCGGTGGTGGAAAGGCCCAATGTGTCGCAACAGCGAGATCCGCTACGAAGTCTCACGGGCATGTCAGCCGTGCTGTTTCGAGGTACTCGGTATATTCGGATCCTGCCCGCTGTTGGTCGAATGATCTGTAACACACGGGGCCTTGAGCGACCCAGGTCTCCTTCGAAAGAACAACGCATTGCGCAGCCATTGAGAATATAACAGACAAAGAACGTAACGTTTCTTTCTCCAGAATTAAAGAAAGCAATAAGCGAAGCTTTATCTCACAACACTCCGGTAAACCGAGTGGAGCGTAAATACGTGCGTACCAGGACTTGGCGGTCCCAGCGAGGCAGAGCAAAGGACATTTTTTTCTTCATTGTTACTTATTAATTACAGTTTCCCTGTTCGAGCTTACGAGCGGCGAAAGAATAAGGTTGATCAACCTGTGTGGGTGGACAGTTCCTCGAAACGGTCCGATAGGTCGGTGAGGCCCGTCTCGGCGTGTCGGCCAAGGATGTCCGGTAGCGCGTTCCTCCTGCCGGTCCTTCCGGTCGACAGGAACTCCTTCGAGTTGTCGCCGTTCTCGTAGGAGCCGCCTGGAGTGACCGAGCCGCTCGTCGCGCTGCCCGCGCCCTTATCACCGGGCCCGTCCCCGATTTCCTCGGGGCCCACCGGTCCTGCTCGCCTCGGCGTCAACATCCTCAACACTGCAAATATACGTCACATCCTGTGTTTGTGTTGGACGCCCCGCAATCGGCATTTCAAATGCCATTCTTCGCGCGATCCCTCGACATATCTTCGCAGAAATGTCTGCTACTACTCGACATCTTCGACAAAATGCCGTTCGAAACTCTATCAGTCTCGTATCGCTTCTTGGCGATTATTTTAATACAAAATTTGTATTATATTGTTTCATACGTAACTTGATTATACGCAATTAGAATATTAACTCTTAACGTTTTTTTTTTAATGTTTTGCTATTTCTCTCTTCGTTAATATCGTGGGGTAAGTCTCTGAGGGCATTGTAGTGTACAGATTTGCGGCATTACTGGGCATTACTAGGCATTTTTGGGCATTAGGCCTTGCTGAGGCATTATAAAGATAAAATAAGATAATAAGAGTAGTAATACCCACTGGGCATTAGTAGACATTGGTGTACATGATTTTGGTCAGCGGTTTACACCTCGGTTAATGCGTGTACTTTACGTGGAGGAGATAAAAAGATTCATGATATTGTTCAAGCGATATCTTACGACTAGATAAGAAACTGCGAATAACATTAAACGAAAGGAAGCGGAATGGTCTCATTGTACCGCCACTGCGGATTGAGAATTAATAAGCTGTTAATTAAACTTCGGTGACCTAGAATTGTTAATTAGATTTCGCACAGAGTATAGCAATCTGCGGTTCGGAGAGGCTGATCGAAAGCTTTGAAATATGATAATAAGGTCGACTGAGATTTATAACGATAGACGTGACTGCAGGCCATTTTAATGCACCTTTCCTCATACGTAACAATGTTATAAATGTACGAGTCTGCGTTGGAACTGAGAGGCACGCGGTTAATTAAAGATATATAATTTCTTCCTTAATTATACTTCTAGGGCTTAATCGTCGCAATTGCATTATCACGGTCGTATCGAATAAAGTTTACGCTAATTAAAAGCTATATAAGGATCGCCTTTCGCGCGATGCACACTTCATATACTTCATATACCTTCAATTTGTTACGTAAAGTAGAATTTCGAGGAAAGTGACAAAATATCTTATTAAATAACAACATTTAATAAGAGCAGTTTGTGCGCACTGAGAGCGCCGTATTTAATGTAGCATCGTCACCAATTTGTATCGCACATATCTAGCTCCTATCTATGCCAGAGTTTAACTCGTTAATACATCGTGACATTTTAATCACTTTCGCACTTTACGCGGCACGAGCACACGCAAGATCGATCGTGAGAAAGCATAGCATTGCGCGGTTCGAAAACAGAGGCCTTTTTACGCGTATTGTACACGCTGAACAGTGAGAGATATACATTTCATCATCTCTTTACGCGGCATTTAACTTGCGGTGTACCAGAAGGATTAAAATATACATTCATCAGACCTCCACTGTACTCTCTAATGTTTCTCACGAAATTGAATTTATTTCCTCGTTGCTTCCAGGGAGGATTCCCGGACAAATGTGTGCCGCCCCTTGCTTCCACGAATTATCCTCATAATAACGCCGTAATAAATGTACGCGCGTGAGAATGAATTTAGAACAATACCGACGGTGCCGAGTGATACATATTAAAATTCTCATTTCGCGCTAAAAGGGTAGCCCGTGAATAGCTCGATATCGGCGAACGTGACCGCGCGCAACTCCCCGTTTCGCGGGGTCGCGGACTGATCCACCGCGAGCGCTCACCTGGTCGCCTCTCTGTCGACCTGAGAAATTGCCACGCGTCGAAGGACGACGCGAGGTCGAGTGCGGCCGCGACGAGACGAACGACTGATTCCGAAGCGTCTTCGCGAACCGGCGGCTGCGGGCCGCCCGCCGTCGACAACTTTATCGGCCACCTCGCGAGACTCGGCACGTATCTCATAATCTACGCGAGATTCACGATAATCGCCGATCCGATCACGACGCGAAACGCTGCCGCCTTGAAAAGGAGATCGGCGGAGGAAGAGTCCGAAATACCGGGCGTTTATAACGTCACTCGCGACGGCGCCGGTGCGTGTGTACACAGCTGACGGGAAAATGAGCACGTCGAGACTACTCTCGCCCACGAGCGATTACTTCCAATTTCTTATTGACGAAAATTTGACCGGGCGCTCTACCGTCTTCCGCGTATATTTCAATATTAAACACTTCGATCAAATTTACGCGAGGGCCGGCTGAAATGTATGCGAGATTAAAACCGAAGGATGAATTGTCTTTGCTCGTTAGAGCGCTTTAGGAGCGAAATTCTTAGAAACATCTGGAGCATGCTTACGACAGGAATGATCAATGTCTCGAGAGATCGTCCTCAAACTCGCCGAAAATTTCCAAGTAAAAGAGGAAGCGATGATTCTGAGACACCATGGCCGGTATTCATAGTCAGATCTTATATTCAAGACTTAAGATCATACTTTAGATACTCCGTAACCAATGAAACATTCCATACAGCATCTTTAGATAAATTCAAGACAATCTTGAATATAAGATCTGACTATGAATACCGGGGCCTATGTATGTAAAGACGTAAATATTGATGTGTTTCCTTGAATTGATTTTTTTTATCTGTTGCCTTAAATGAAAACCTCTCAGATAATATCGCGGTAACGGGTATCGCACGAATCGCATTCGTTTATCAAATTATCGCGTTATGTACAATTTGCGCCTCGGGCACGTAATTTTACATCATCGACACGCGAGTACAACAATGATTCCAAGCCCGTTTTCCAGCTCTACCATAAGTCTTTCCGTGTTGCGAAGAGAATGCGAATAAAACCTAACCAGTCAGCAAAATGTTAGCAGATTGGCATCCGATTGGCAGCAGATTCATCAGAAACCCACACCGAAACCATAGCCATCTGTGTCCGCATTTGGCTTTGTTTTGGCAAAACAGAGTCTGTGAAACGTACGCTGTCAACAGATTGTCGGCAAAAACCAGGTCCAGTTTATGCGAGCAGGATCTGCGCGGCGCAGTTTGATGGCAGACTGGCAGCAGAAATTGAGCAGGATCTACCGTTTAAAAGCCAGGACTGCACAGTTTTTTCTCAGAGAATTTCCGGAATGTGTATGGGTACCTTTGCGCTACTAAACGACAGAGTTTGCTCCATTTCGTTACCAATCTGCCAACAAGTTATGTCAGCAGATTCTGCTCGATTTCTTCTGCGATCTGTCGCCATTTTGCGTGAGCAGGATCCGCTCGATTTTTGCCGCCAATCTGCTGTCTAAACACGTTATCAAGCTTTGTTACGTTTCTGTTGATGTTCTGCCAACATCATGTGATCAAAACCAGAATCAAATCTGTAGTCTTTCTGTCGACAAAATTTGGAAACAGTTTCCTGAAATCCGTTCTCTACAGGCTTGGCTGTCTCGGTATATTCGCGAATTTACAAATTTGCCTGCAAATTTTACAAGCGGATTAACATTAGCTGCTTTCCCCAAGCTGCAACGTGCGTTTTAATTTGCTCTTTATTTTCGCCCATTACTTTCACATGCGATTAGTGACTTGTAAAAGTGATATATTTACGAGGCGACAGGCGGTGTGGAACAAAACTGCGTTTCGTAAACTGTGGGAAAACGCGCTACCGAGCCGAGTAGATGCAGATGCTGCGATCAACAGCACATCTTTGAGAACGCGCATGACGCTAGACAGAAATTTCGCGAAGTAAATAACGTAGGTATATCGCGTCGCGGGTGGAAATCGATAAACCGTCATCGCGGGCTTTCGTTTTATCTCGAAACCCGCCTTATCTCGCGTTTCGCATATTTTAATGCGTCCCACAAAGTATACGCCTCGAAAACGCCGAGCGTGCTGCGGCGGGTGGTAATTTTAACGCGAAAGTATCTGCGCGTTAATATCAAGGTTATTTACACGCCAACCATTTCCAAATAATTAAACTTGGTGTTTATACGCCGAGCATATCCGTCGATACGTAGTTAGCGGCATATTGCGTCTCGTCGCTTCCTAAAACACGCGGTCGATTCGATTGGGCACAGCCTCCAAGGTACGCCGAGTGACTTTCGCGGTGGATTCTACGTCGCAAAGTGATTCGTGAAGGCTGCCGCGGAAGATTAGTCAAATTATAATAGTTAACGTGCGTGGATTAGTCATTCGGACAATTCGACTGGATTAGTTTTTGTTACGTGAACGCGAGGTCAGCAAATGGTACCTTTTGCACGTGTAAGCTTTCTTCGATATCCCTTGCGCGATGTATAGCCGGAAGTGGCGAGGAACAATCGTCGCCGCGAGGAACCGCCGCTGCCGCCGCCGCCGCCACCGCCACCGCCGCAGCCGCCACCGCCGCCGTCGTCGGGCAGCACTTTGCGCAGCTTCACCTAATCGTACGTTTTCGCTGTATTACAAAGTCACTATCGTCGAAAATCTACGATGGCGTCGGGGATCCGGACGAATCAGACGGGACCTATCGCGAGCGTGCCAAGATACGCAGAACTTGTGGGAAAATTCTGCCCGTTCCGGGAAACAAAACCGTTTCCCGGAAGCTGCGATGGACTTTAACGATTCGTTCTCTGTGCGAATTTCCGTGAATAATAAAAGCTCCTTTCCGAAGGTCGTCCGATCAAAGGCTTACATAATATATTTCGCCACACAACTGCAAAATTCCACGATCTGGTTGGGAATATTTAAGCGTTTGATAGTGTTGTAGATATTCAGATCATGAGAACGAGAGATAGATCAGGGTGATTGTATAAAATGATTTTAATCGAGCTTTGTTTATTGTTCTTTTGTGATTCTTCCTGTTGCAAATAATAAAATAAAAAAAAAGAAAGATTAATATGTCAGCAATACAGATGCAAACATTGTAACAGAATAAACAAACTCGGGATTTTATATCATAAGGTCTTTCCGCGAATTTAATATGTTTATATTTAACGTCACACCAGAGAAAATAATATTTCAATGAAATCAGTGATACGCTAATGGCTAGAAAATGATAGACTATAACGATGGAGTAGAAAAATAACTAGATAGTACATCACGATTAAATGCAA